AGATTTTGGTATTTTAAAAATATCTATCAATAAAAAAGGAAGATATATTCTAGTTGTTGATTCAGAAAAGAAAATAAAAATCCAAAATGATAAAAATAAAGAATTATTATAATTTAATAATAAATATGACCATTAATTACTCTTTCAAAATAGTAGACATATGAGAAGAAAAATACCAAAAAAAAAACATAATTCACAGATATAGAAATATGAAAATCAAATATTTGAAAATATATGACCTAAGTTAATGAAAAACCAAATAAAAAATAAGAGAGTTCAAATTAATTAAATAACTATTACCCTGGTATATTTCTCTATCACTGAGTGATTTCATATTAGCGGTTTTAATCTTATTTTATTTATTTTGATGGATAATCTATTTTTTTAAAGTTTTTTGAATTTTTAGCCAAATGTAGAATTTCTAAATTATACGTGTATACGCAAGATCTGGTCTAGTTGCAAATATATTCTATATGAAACATCACGCGCTTATTGTATAGAATTATTTTTACTACGCGACACGCGCTATAATATATAGAAATATTATATTTTTTAAAGAAAAAATAGATACGTTAAAATGAATAGTGTGAAATTTATCCAGATGATGACGCGTGTTTAATTTCCTTAAAAATATATATATTAGTTGTGTTTTACTCACCTGTCACAATACATCTATAAAATGAGGATCAAGCATTGACAAGAAAAGGGCAACAAAATATTAGACATAAATCTTTCACCTTGTTCTTAAAAAAAAATGGTTCTTACAGAGGCTGAAATTCTCGAGATTAAAGCTGAAGTCGATCGTGTTAAAGAAACATCAGAAGTAGATGAAGAGCATGTGAAGGTAAGCGTTCATTTTAATATTCTTATATATTTTATTTTATTTTTTTGTTCAAATGTTGATTAGAGTGTTGTAAAATTTAGGAATTGGAAAAGAAGATGACGGAGTACGCTGAAAAAAAAAAAGTTGTGGATACATTACTGAACGCTGTGCTCAAAATGTTAAACAATTCTATTGCGAAGAAACAGGACTCCTCATCTCCATGAATTTTCTCAGATATGAAGAAATAATTCTTCTTTCAAAGCTTTTATGGAATAACTAATCTGGGATTTTTTGTAGTAATGAAAAGATATCATGTCGATTATCATTCTTTCAAAATATGTAGGATTCTCATGATTAATCAATAAGTCTTAATAATTTTGTTTTGTCTCTCTTTGATTCTCTTTCTACCTATCTTTCTCTCTGTTGAACAAGCTCTAATTTTCAGCTTTTTGTTTACTGAACAAAAGATATATTTCTTTCACTTTAGAGATAACAGTTATTATACCAGATTAAAAAAAAAAAAAAACAATACGTTTCTGTTATAATATGTAACTCAAAACATTTAATCATTCAGAAAACTCATTAAATTATTTTAAAATAGTGAAGGTATATATAAAACCTTTTTAAGAAACAGCATCAAAACAGTCCTTGAATCAGCACCCAAAACACATGACAAGCTTGAGCAAAACTCATCAAAAAAGCATGAAAGTAGTTCTTAAATACTATGCAATAAAATCATCAGAAATGACATCAAAATAGCCACACATGTCTCCAAAAATCAGAACAAACAACATCATCAAAACAGTCACACACGTCTGTAAAAAGCATCACAAACAACATCAAAATATGTCACAAACAATATCAAAGCAATGTAAGAACTACCTCTTGTAGCTTATCTAAAGCCATTCCTCTTGTGGTTTTAGATAAAGCCTCCGAGATAATGATGTTGCTTATCTTATTAATCTCTTCTTTGGTCTCTGATGTGCTCATTTCATGATCTTTTCCCATGTCCTCTTAACATAATATACATCCGCAATGACACCTCCAAATCTTCCTCAGTTATTAAACACACAGACCAAAAGAAGACGTGGAGTCCATTAACAATGGCAATCGAAGCGGTACAAAAAGACACAAAAATGCATGTTATTAACAAATAACATATTCGTAATTATAAATATAAATCAAGTAGTACTAAAAACATATGAAATAATATTAGGAACTACCTCTTTATTAGAAGAAAAAAGCAATCCAAATTGTGTGTGAGTTACTAAAAACTATGTGTATATATGATTCTTTCTAAAGTACAATCCAAAAATTGGTGTATATACTTTTCTGACAAAACTATAGTTCTTGAAATGTAGAACCCCATTGTTGGCAAAAAAAGGTGACACGCTGTTGCCGGGACAGTGGAAAAATTATTTGGCATTTTAGCGAAAAAACACGAACATGATCGCATATAATTATTGTCCGAAAAATGATTGGACATATTGTAAATTATAAGAACATACTTAAATTATTATGAAAATCCAGTTCAAAACTTAAAAAGATAAACCTCGTGATTTTCTTCAGTTATCACAACAAACCAAAATTATCCCACACATATTGTTAGGCTAACAATATGATTTATAGTACTATATATTCTTTCTTTTTTTGTAAAAAGGTACTATATATTCTTCTTCTTCTTTTTCTTATTGTTACTTTTTGAGAGCATCAATAGAGACGATAAGCCTCCATTTCCATATGTTTACGCTTCATCATCTCGGACAACTTCAAGCATTTCTTTAAAAGCAGTTAAGTCCTCCAAATTTAGACTTATAATCTCCTTCAGATCATAATTTTTAAGGGTTTCTTCTTATCTCTTCTTTAAAATCTATGCTATATAGCCATTAAACGACGATTAGTGTGTTATTTCATTTTTAAAAAATTCTAAAACCATTTCAATCTTAAACACTAAATTCGATAAGAGAGAGATATGAAATTTGCACAGATTTTTAAATTTGGTATTTGATTTTTGAAGTGTAAGAGTCGGCCTTGACTAGAACCACATCTTATAGGTCAATTATATATGTAGAAAAGTTGTTAGCTCTATTGGTAATGACACTCTACTCTTCTTCAGTTGGCAAATTCAAACCCATTACATAGTTGTCGATATCAAAGACCGAGAAGCACTTTCAGACACGAAGAATAGACTCCAGAGTTAGGAGGATAGTTCCCCTTCTTTAATGAATCTTATTATATTTATAATAAGAGTGTTAGAACAAAGTGACAGTTTGGCCGAGTGGTCTAAGGCGCCAGATTTAGGCTCTGGTCCGAAAGGGCGTGGGTTCAAATCCCACAGCTGTCATTTTTGTTTTCTTTCCAACTCCTTTGTTTGTCTTATTTTCAAATTAATATGTAATTGTGTCTGAAATTTTTTAAATATTATTGTTAAACGGTTCAAGTCTGGGAAAATCTAGCAAAAAGAATTCTGAAACAAGATTACTCGCATGATTGGTCAGCAATGGTAAGCCTCATATCTCGACCTTTCAGGGATCGGCTACCAACTTTCATACTTCGGTATCTCTTCCAAATGACTATCCATGTTTTTTTGAGGGAGAGAAATGATCGACAGCATGGCTCTATCCCGTCTGCTGCAACTCTCTTGATCAAGTTTATTGACAAGGGCATCAAGAATCAGTTCAGCTCAATCCAGTTACTTGAGGATACTAAGTATTAGGAAGGATTTCAAGTCTGGCTCGCTTCGAGATATTAGTCGAAAATGGTAAAGTGATTTTTTAAGATTGTATGTAATTTATTACCAACTCTTGCATCTTTAATGTAGAAAACGATGCTTTTTTCGGGTTCGAATAAATTTAACATTCATTAAGAAAAAAGGTCAAGTCAACTAGTTTTCTGAAAATTTTAAAAGTTAAGTACTAAACGGTCAAGGTCAAGTAAGCATTACTGCATTAGTACTGGTATTCTAAAAATGTTAGTATTAAAATGAGTCAAGGTCAAGTAAGCATAGTATCCGGATACAGGTTGTCCGTATCCATCCCAGTCCATAATTGATTTGATATCCGATGGCTAAGATCCAGTAACAAATGCCTCAAAAATCTTGTTGAGCTCTCATTCAAATTCAGAAAGAAAAAAAACTTTATATCATATAACAATATCTCTTTACTTATCAATTACCATCATAAGATTAATATTTCTAGGATTCAGGATCAGGATATAAATAAACTTGGACAGAGGGAGTTTTGTTCTCATTTTTTTTTTCCCGGGACTGTAATTTTTGACGGATTAGATTTGCTCATACGAAACACAACTTGTATATAAAATATCTCATTAAGACAGGCAGACAGCCAATACGGCTTTTGATTCCTCTAGTCAGATATTAGAAGACGTGTTAACGAATTAAATTATATAGACCTAAAACAGGATGTAAAGTTTTCTTAGAAAACAAAAGGAAAAAAAGATGACAATTGTTTTGTTATTAAAATACGATGAATTGGTATCAGTTTCAATGTTGCTACTCTTTGACCAAAAAGGCTTTTCTTTTAATTTGCCAAGCTCGAATTCATTTTCAATCACGCATTGAATCTTAGAGTACTATATATTATTAAGCCTTATAACACACACAAAAACTATATACTATTTATTATATATACATATATTGTTCCCATTCTAAGGAATCTATATTGAATAAAATACTTTACCCAATAAAAAGATAAGTGTAGACTGTAGAAGGAAGAGCAATAATCTTTCGAAGAATATGTATATATTGAATTTTCCGTATGTATCATATACTCTATATCGTTAGTTCAAACGAGTAACATATATGTGTTTTCATCCTACTGATGATATATCTAAAACTTTGAATATAAAACGTTTGGATGCAGAAAAAAGTGATTTATATTGTGAGATTAAATGAATATCATATATAATACTAACATAGATGCATTTTAAGCCTGTGTATGAGTGGGAATGCATTTAGTGGCTTTATATGCAACTTGACCGAATTATCAATTATGTGAATTATGAACTTAATATACATATATATTGCGTCTTGGCCTTTTCACATCCGTGACATGATCCCTCAAACATAATGTCTATATCTTCTTGCCCATATTCATATATATAAACATATGACCCGTGTGTGTATAGATAATTCTCTCATAATAATTTTGTCCCCATTTTCAACTCATCTAAACCATGACGTCACTCTCAGAGACCACTTTGATCTTTACTCTCATCATCTTCTTCTTCTTCTCTGGCTTTTCACTTGCGAAACAGAGCTTTGAACCAGAGATTGAAGCTTTAAGATCCTTCAAGAATGGCATTTCCAGCGACCCTTTAGGTGTATTAACGGATTGGACCACCACCGGTTCGGTACGACACTGCAACTGGACCGGAATCACCTGCGATCGTACCGGTCACGTTGTCTCAGTTTCCTTGATGGAGAAGCAACTTCAAGGCGTTCTGTCTCCATCCATAGCAAATCTCACCTATCTCCAGGTTCTTGATCTCACTTCAAATAATTTCTCCGGCGAAATACCGGCTGAAATCGGTAAACTAGCCGAGCTAAACCAGCTCATTCTTTACTTAAATTATTTCTCTGGTTCGATTCCCTCTGAGATTTGGGAGCTTAAGAATATTGTGTATCTTGATCTGAGAGATAATTTGTTAACCGGTGATTTCCCTGAAGCAATCTGCAAAACTAGATCTTTGGTACTAGTAGGAGTTGCAAACAACAACTTAACCGGAACAATACCAGAATGCTTGGGAGATTTGGTTCATCTCGAGATGTTTGTAGCAGGCTCAAACCGTTTTACTGGTTCGATTCCGGTATCAGTTGGTACTTTGGTTAATCTAACTGATTTAGGCCTGAATGGTAACCAGTTAACCGGTGAAATACCGAAAGAGATAGGAAATCTCTCGAACTTACAGTCTCTCATTTTAGTTGATAACTTGTTGCAAGGAGAAATACCAGCTGAGATCGGAAACTGCACGAGCTTGGTCCAACTTGAGCTGTATGGTAACCAGTTAACCGGAAGAATACCAGCTGAATTAGGGAATTTGGTTCAGCTGGAGGCACTCCGGTTATACAAAAACAAACTGAATTCTTCAATTCCATCCTCATTGTTTCGGTTAACGAAATTAACAAATTTGGGATTGTCGGAAAACCAGTTGGTCGGACCAATACCGGAAGAGATTGGTTTCCTCACATCACTCAAAGTCCTTACTCTTCACTCCAACAACTTAACAGGAGAGTTTCCACAGTCCATCACAAGCTTGAGGAACTTGACAATGATAACGATGGGGTACAATCGTATTTCCGGTGAGCTCCCGGAGGATTTAGGGTTTCTTTCAAATCTTCAGAACCTTTCAGCGCACGACAATCTTCTTACCGGACCGATACCTTCAAGCATAAGTAACTGCACAAGTCTTAAAGTCCTGGACCTGTCTAATAACGAGATGTCTGGCAAGATTCCGAGAGGTTTCGGACTTATGAATCTCACTTTTATTTCTCTTGGAGCCAACCGGTTTACCGGAGAAATTCCAGATGATATCTTCAACTGTTCAAACGTGGAGATTCTTCATTTGGTAGAGAACAACTTAACAGGAACTCTCAAGCCATTGATTGGGAAGCTTAAGAAACTAAGGATTTTGAAACTTTCTTATAACTCACTCACTGGGGAGATTCCTGGAGAGATTGGGAATCTGAGAGAGTTGAATATCTTGCACCTTCAAGCTAATGGTTTCACAGGAAGAATCCCGAGGGAGGTATCGAATCTCACTCTCCTCCAGGGACTTGTGCTGCATACAAATGATCTACAAGGTCCAATTCCTGAAGAAATGTTTGATATGAAGCAACTCTCACTGCTTGAGCTATCCAACAACAGATTCTCTGGTCCAATACCTGTCTTGTTCTCGAAGCTTGAGTCGCTTAACTACTTGGGTCTTCATGGAAACAAGTTCAACGGATCAATCCCTTCAAGCCTTAAGTCGCTTTCTCATCTCAACACATTAGATATCTCTGACAATCTTCTCACCGGAACCATCCCTGAGGAGCTGATATCTTCCATGAGAAACTTGCAGCTTAAACTCAACTTCTCAAACAATTTCTTGACAGGAACCATCCCCAATGAGCTTGGAAAGCTAGAAATGGTTCAAGAAATCGACTTTTCGAACAATCTCTTGTCCGGGTCGATTCCAAGATCTTTAAAGGCCTGCAAAAACGTGTTCTTGATGGATTTTTCGAGGAACAATCTCTCAGGTCAGATCCCAGACGAAGTGTTCCAACAACACGGCATGGATATGATCAGAAGCTTGAACCTTTCAAGGAACAGTCTCTCTGGTGAAATCCCCAAGAGCTTAGGTTACAATCTCACGCAGCTAGTCTCTCTGGATCTCTCTAGTAACAATCTCACTGGTGAAATTCCAGAGAGCCTCGCCAGTATTTCGACTCTGAAACAACTCAAACTCGGTTCAAACCACCTCAAAGGCCACGTTCCTGAATCCGGTGTGTTTAAGAACATCAACGCATCTGATCTGATGGGAAACACAGATCTCTGTGGTAGCAAGAAGCCTCTCAAGCCATGTATGATCAAGAAGAGAACGAGCCATTTCTCGAAGAGAACTACAATCATCGTGATTGTTCTTGGATCAGCCGCTGTTCTTCTTGCACTACTGCTTCTTGTCCTGATGCTCACCTGTTGCAAGAAAAAGGTGAAAAAGATCGAAAACTCATCAGAATCTCCATTGCCGGATTTGGATTCAGCTCTGAAGCTCAAGAGATTCGATCCCAAAGAGTTGGAGCTAGCAACAGACTCTTTCAACAGTGCCAACATCATCGGTTCAAGTAGCTTAAGCACAGTGTACAAAGGCCACTTAGAGGATGGAAGAGAGATCGCAGTAAAAGTATTGAACCTGAAGCAATTCTCTGCAGAATCAGACAAATGGTTCTACACAGAAGCCAAAACACTTAGCCAGTTAAAGCATCGGAACCTGGTGAAGATCTTAGGGTTTGCTTGGGAGAGTGGCAAAATGAAAGCTTTGGTGCTTCCATTTATGGAGAAAGGAAGCTTAGAGGATGCGATTCACGGCTCTTCTGCATCAACGGCTGGGAATTTCTCGGAGAGACTCGATCTCTGTGTTGATATCGCGAGCGGAATCGATTATCTTCACTCTGGGTTTGGATTCCCAATCGTTCACTGCGATCTGAAGCCGGCGAATATACTCCTCGACGGTGAACGTGTAGCTCACGTCAGCGATTTCGGGACTGCTCGGATTCTAGGGTTACGCGAAGATGGAAGCATTACAGCTTCTACATCAGTATTCGAAGGCACAATTGGATACTTGGCTCCAGGTATGACTAAAAAAACTTGAAACTTTAATTAGTTTCGTCATTGATTTACCTGAAAGTGACAAACTTTTTGTTTTTCCATGATCAGAGTTCGCTTATATGAGGAAAGTGACGACAAAAGTCGATGTATTTAGCTTCGGGATTATAATGATGGAGCTAATGACGAAACAGAGACCGACTTCGCTGAGCGACGAAGAATCACAAGGCGTGACTCTGCGTCAACTGGTGGAGAAATCGATTGGAGAAGGAACGGAAGGGATAATTAGGGTTCTTGATTCAGAAATTAGAGCTAGCATCGTTTCTCGGAAACAGGAAGAAGCCATTGAAGACCTGTTGAAGCTTTGTTTGTTCTGTACAAGCTCTAGACCTGAAGATCGACCAGATATGAATGAGATTCTTACACATTTGATGAAACTCAGAGGAAAGACGATTTCAGTTCCAGATCTTAACCATGGTCGAGAAGTTTGAAGCAACTTGGAATGAAATTCCTCTTTTTTTTATTTTTTCAAATTCAATTTTATTTTATTGTAAAAAGTTTCTGATTTTTGCTTTGTTTTTGCTCTGTTTCTGCAAACTTGTACAATATAAAACCGAACTCTTATTACTATTGAAATACATACCGTCTTTATGTATTCTTAATTGCAGGGAAAAAAAAAAGAAGTTAAAAAGAAGTTAGCTAGTGGCAGGCAACATGATATTTATATATTGTGTTGAATGTAAAAAAATGGATCACAAAGATCCAAGATTGAGTATGTCACTCTTGTTTTCCTTCTTGAGTAGTTAATGATAACTAGACTCCAATGAAATTTAGCAAATCAGCTCTGAGTGAGTTTTATCTGAAGTTTCCATTATAGATTTTCTTGAAATGGATTCTGCAGAATTATCAAAGGTACAAGAAGTCAAGAAGATACAATAACTATCATTGATCTCCTCTAGCATTGTTATATTTCAATGTCATTGAGCACCGATGGTACTAAGATAATCTTTGTCTAAGGCTGGTGTGACTTTTATCTTCTTATAATTTTCAGGTTAAGGAAGCTCCAAGCTACTCTTGTCTGAACAAATTTGTTTCTGGATTATGAGATAATCTACATAGTGATGGTAAGCATATGTTTAAACAGAGAAGATATAGATATATGTCCTGCTATCTTCTCTCATCTTCTAAACTCACAAAGATTCACACTCTTAAAATTTGAATTGAACTTTCTCAGCAATTGAAAGCTCGTGATCAAAGGTGTAGAAGATACATATGGTTAAGACAGCATTGTAAAGATGATGTTTCACCTATTGCAAAGGCAAAGCAAGTCTAATTTGTGCATTAGTTATTTATTGCAAATTGTGTAGACCTTATATCGATCGTTTTTCACCTTTTTGGCAAATTGGTTAATACTAACATCACTATTTCACCTTTTTGGCAATTTGATTAATACTTTAACATCAATATACATTTTTTGGACGACCACACAGATTGTTTGCTTAATGCTTACAAACAAAACAAAAAATCTAAAGAAACTATATAAAAAAAATATTGAAAACAATTACTTCGATATCATATGGCAACAGAGCAAAGCATTGTTGGTATCTGAGATCCTTGTCTTGGCTTTGTTGAACAAACTCTGAAGCTAAATATGCACAAGAAAATGATCCACAAAGCTAACTTGTCTTTATCTTATTTTGTTTTGCTTTGACGAGAGACTCCAACGAAGAAACACAAAAAACAACACTACTTTCTGCCTGTAGATGATAGATTTCAACAGAGTTTTAATTAGAATTTTGATGAGTAAAACAGTGAGAAGAACAGGGAACTCACGGGTCTTAGCGATGAATCTGAAGAAGCACGAATGAGAAGCAATAGAGGGGAAGAGCAATGGCGATCCCAGCTATGAAGTTAGAGAAAAGCCGCTTGTTGTCTTTTGTGGGTACGAAAACTATCTTAAGCGTGTTAGTTAGTTCAAAGAGACGGTGAGATACCTGGAGAAAAAAGAAGAACACAGAGATAATTCAGAAAGTCTGGTAATGGAAAAGACAGGGGAAAGAAGTTGGTCTGGTTTCTTACTAGGACGTATATCGCCGTTGTGAGCATGAAATTGAGCATAGGGTATCCCGGAATAATAGAGAGAAGCCATTTTGGTTGCCCATCAGGCATGTTTGATCTGAAAGTTGGTATCTTTCGTCAACAAGAGATCAAACTAAGTTTCCGGAAAAACAAGATTTTTAAGTTGCAGAAAACAAACCTTAGCCATATATGAAATTGGGAAATGTAAGTTTCTAATGTGATCTTGCCAAGCCACCTGCACAGGGAAATGTAAAATGTATTACATGGAAATGAGGTGAGCATATCAAACCTGGATTTAGCTTAAATGCAAATGCGAGTTTACTCACGCAAAGAGAGTCAATGAGACACTCCGAAGCTGGTGGGTGAAATTCCGAAGGCATATGTAAACACTGGATACCGGGAAACCAAATGAGGAGTCATTTTTCAGGTTTCAGCAAGTAAGATAAGAGATGCATATAAAGAGGAACGAGAGGATTTATGCACATACGTTATGGGAATCCAAGATGTGTATGGGTGATACATGTTGTAACTGGTCTTATCCAGCTTGTAGATACATTCATACCACACGTAGCCAACCTAAAATTGTGAGCAAAACGGGAAACATACATATATCAATGTATATAATTGGATGATGCAATCAATAATCTAAAAGATGACTCAAATTACTTACAATCACGTTAATGGTAACTATGGCAGTCTTGATAGATAGTCTTTTCTTCGTTTCACAATCCTCTAGCTTCTCCATCCATCTCTCTACCTAGAGGATGATCTCAAGTTTTGAAGTTTAATACATCAACACACCAAACGAAAAAAAGAAAAGAAGAAAACCTAAAAGTGTGTCTATGTTTAAGAACTTACGGTTGGATGAAAATAGGCATAAATCATTCCAATGATCCATATGTAACGATCAAGGCCTGATCTGAAATGCCATTCATGTAATCGATGAAGATCGGGCTTCGCAGGGTCACTGTAACCTGCATTTATACACATGCAATGTCCAAATTATAAAGAAAAACCCCTTTGAATTTATGTCTCATCCCACATAGAGAACATGATCAGATCCAGAGAAGTTAACCACCTAGCAAGAATGTTAAAGGACTCCAGAATATTTCAAAAGCTCCAGGAATTTCCCACATCAAAAAGACAACGAGGAAACATGAAAATATCTTCAGAGCCATCACAGATCCTATCTCATTGTACTTGCCGAAGATACCCAAAGCTCCGTATACCATTAGGGTGAAGAGAGTGTGCATTGGGCAGATGTAATACAACATATAGTCATTGTTGAGAACAATACAGCAAAATGCTACAAAGAAGTTCAGCCTCCACATCATCTATAAGAGAACAAAAAATTTTAGATGCTGAAGATAAAGTCCAATGACAATAGATTTCATGGAATGAATTGTATCACCTGCGCAAAACGTGCAACAGAGAAATCCTTTCTGATATAGTAGTACGAAAAGTTTCCAAAACCAGTCATCCAGACATAAGCAGCAATGAAGATACGGATTGCGTTGTATATCTCAGCCGCAGCAAAGTAGTGATACATCAAGAACAAAACCTGTTAAAGATTAGGACATGAGAACTACAAAGACAGTAACTGACCCCAAGAAAAAAAAAGGATTGGTGGTATTGCCAATAATCAAGAGAAACTTGCCTGCATCCATCCTTTCCACTCTTCAGTCTGGTGGCGATTAAGGTAAAGAATGGATTTCCCACTTATGGGTGACTTGTCATTGTGCTTCCTGAGAGATGTCATGGCTGATACTATGATGAGAAGAACATAGAGAAAAAGGAAAAGGTCGCGGTTGTAATTCTGTCAAAGGAAACCAAGTTATATGAGCATTTGAAGTAGATATCCTTTCGTGGAATAAACAGTGAAAGACATGGGGTACCTTGGTTGAATCGCCAAGTAATTCCGTGCGGTCACAGATATAGAAATAAATTAAGATTGCGCCAAACTCCGACCTAGGTATGGTTGTGAATGTTAACACAAGATAACAAAACAGAGATATTATCACTTCTTAAGGTTTCATTTCACTTACATTGCTCTCAAAGTTGCTCGGTGTTCCAGCAAAAAAGAATCTTCCATACTCAAAAACCTGTGATTCGATAAATCATAGAAACTCAAAGCATGAGAGCTGCTGAAAGGATTTTTAATAAACAAAATATGAGCTAGAAACACCAACCTGATTATGTTTGTTCTGATGGATGAATTATGAAATCTTACAGATGTCGATCGGACAAGACCTCCCTCCAATAAATCAGTTTTGTCATCGTCCTTCTCCGATACGCCTCCGGATTCAACCAGATTATTATCTGAGTGGCTGCATTGGAAGAATGCAACTCCTATCAAGAACTAAATTGAAAGAGTGGACACACTACAGAGTGGGCTTTCACGCCTAAAATCTACTACGTTATTGAGAGCACCACATTTGCAAGAACTTACGGTTTCAAGGGAGCCAAAGATTTCCTGTACTCAAGTAGCTCCGAGTATATCCAACCGATAAATATTGGGATTACTCCAAGTAGAAAAGACACCTACAAAAATTTCACTCAAAAGTTAAAAATCTTGCACTTGCAGATTTTGGTACAGTATCAAGCCAACTCTAAAACCTTTCAAAAGCTACTAGAAAGATTGAAAGTCACTTTCTTTGGGTTTCCTCCCACTAAAAATGGCGGCTTTCATGAAATCAGTCATAACTTCTTCAATTTAAACTCATTTAATTCCAGTTATTTAACTCCAGACACACACACAAATGTAAAGAAACAGTAGTACCCTAAATCAAATGGTACTGGAAATTTTCAACCTTTGTCAACTAAATAAACCTAAACCGACTCAGCATTGAATCGAAAGAAGCAGAAAAAATAATTGAAGACGAGAGTAAAGTTTCTCGAGAAATTTTACCTGTCCCGGCGTAATCGGTCCCGGATCCACCATTTTTAGGGATCTCTATGATTACTCCGAGCTGCAGAAAACAACAAAGACGAACGAAGTTTGTATTAACGAATCCAAAATCGACAATGCGCAGTCGAATGAGAAATTAGAAGGAAAAAAAACATTCTGAAATTTTCAGAAAAGGGTCTCAGAGATTTCAAATTACCAGAGATCGAGACGTTAACTGAGGCAAATTCGACAACGAAGAAGAAGAAGATGATATCGAGGGAAAGTGATCTCTAGCAGACGATCATAATAAATATCAGGGAGGAAGAGAAAGAGAGAGAGAGATATGACAGTGTTTGCTTGAAGAAGAGAGAAAGACGTCTTGGCGAGCCGTCGTTTTCGATCGCCGGCGATTGATTTTTCCGAGCGATTGCTCTCTGGTCGTTGCGGTTCGGCGTACTGGTTAGAGACAGTGACTCGCCTTATAAAGCTCCCTGTATTTATTTTATTTTATTTCATATAAGTATAACTTAAGACTTGAGAGAAAAGTATTTTATTACTTTATGTATTTTTAATTTTAGATTTTATATAAATAAAACTAGTTTTAAGGAAATTAAAAATTCAAGAATAATGGTAAGGTTAAAGGTATTAATAGAGTTGACTATCTCAACGAAATAACGAATAGTAGAGTTTTGTCGAATGATTTAATAATTAAAATAATCTAGTTGAATAAAGTTTTCGTATGATAATAATGAAATAATTAAAAATGGTTTACATAGGTAATAACATATTGATTGATATTTTTAAATGTCCAAGAAAATAATAACTTTACTTATTTAAAAATATGACAACGTGAAAATCAAGAAATTTTTTGAAAAATAAAAAACAATAGAGTGGAATTCTGGTATATATAAAAGAATAATTATTTCTCGTAGTCTCTTCTAACATTGTGGACAAGGATCGAAGAGATAATATTAAAACCTGTTGTGGTGTGTGGATCTAACAACAAGCCTTGATCTCAAGATGCACTTGTCAAGCAACTAACCGGTCACATCCCTTACATGATACGCCAAGGGGCAATGTTCGTTAAACAAATATATTTGATTGGTATCAAATCTATCTAATATACAACAATATGTATGATCAAACTCGTTAAGTTGATTCCTTAATTCTTACTTTAGAGAATTTCATATTCTTATAGCATACTTTAGAGATTGATTAGATTTAATAATCCATATAACCGGTCGGTCACATGAAGACGTATGAAAATTGAATTTTCTAGTAATATCATAATTATTTGTGAGATGAGTGCGTTAATAATTTGGTACAAATCGACTTCAATAGCATATGTATAGTATATATGTTATGTTTTTGGTGTACCAAAAATAAAAGTTATTTTTGTATAAGATGTACGGGTATGTTAGAAAGTAAAAAAGAAAGTATTTTCATTCAAAATTCACTAATACTACTTTCTCCTTTTTAGGTATGCCGTATTGTATAATTAAACATAGTTAAGTTCGATATATCTTTCTATATTAAATGTAGTTTCAATACCCAAATAGTTTCATTTTAGTATTCGACTATTTATAGATATGACTATATTAATGAAGGTACAATGTGTCCTTTTCCACATTAGTTAATCTATATATAGTAATATAAAGCAAGCTAGTAACGAAAGAGAGAGACCCATCAAGTATCGAATAGTACTCAAAATAAATTTATTTTAATAATAACTTGAAAGAGACTCCATATCCATGCCTAACATTTCTACATTATATATCCTATATAGTCTCAAAAAAATATATATATACAAGCAAAAATAAATAAACACCAATACACCATCCCTTATTATGTATCCGATCGAATTGTTTCTATGTAATATTATAGCTATATATTATCAAGGTTCTTGCTTGAAGAAAACCGAAGGAAACATCTCCTTCAAAAACTCGAACTCACTCTCACGGAGAATATCTTGGTTTTGTTGTTGCTGATAATTAGGGTTAACATTCACACTAGCGTATGGCGCACGGAAGAGATCATCATGGGAGAAGCTTCTTGGAGTATTGTTGATGATGAAATCGGAAACTGGAGATAGCGACGATGAGTTATATTCAGATGCGGCGGGTCCAGAGAACGTTCCCATGCGGCGACTGGTCGGGATCGGATGGTTGTGTTGACTTTCGTAGGTTGTGATCACGACCGTTGGATCCTGGTAAGACCTCTCAACTCTCTTCTTCACGTTGCATTTCTGCGTCGTGCATCTATAGTAACTCCTGTTCTCGTAATTGACATATACTAAATTGTTTTAGCATATGACTTATAATGTCGGTTACTAATTAAATGTTTCATTTTTGTTATATTGTTGCAAACAAAGTTGATTGGCTTTTTAAACAGTGGCAACGTTATAGAAGAATAGTTTTTCAAAAAATATGATGAGAAATGCAGGCAACATTTCACAAAGAACTTGACTTGACCAAAAATATTTAATTATTTATCGATGAATGTTTCCAATAATAAAAAATGAAAATTATATAATTTGATGCTAATTTTGAATATGAGTTTAAAATATAAATCCAGAGTAAAAAAGTTATCAAACAGAAATCAATTTATCAATAAAAAACAAAGGAAAACCTAGAATAGAAGATACAAGAGAATCTTAATTAGACCCTGAATGGAAAAATAATTCTTCTTATCAAAATAAATACGAGTGGAAAATTATTTTGATTTTAAAACTAAAAACTACATTCGTTCAGCATTTTTGTTATCTTATATATATATATATATATACTTATTTGTTTATTTGTTTTATACACAATAATCGATTAATTTTGAAACTAATAATAATCGATTACATTACCTCGGATAAGGACTGTTTTTGACTGCTTTTTGGCCGTACTTTCTCCAACGATAGCCGTCTTCGAGATGATCAATTTCGGTCTTAGTCATAAACGAGACTCGTGGCTCTCTTTGCTTCTTCTCCTCTTTCTTCTTTGTTTTAACCCTGAATCATATATTACTCAATTCAATTAATACTTAGTTAGATTGGACCATTTTTGTAATTAATGATAGCGTCCCATACAATTGACCTTCAAATATATTCTTAATCATGCTAGGCACCAAATGATTGTTAATTAGGACACAAGTATTACAATAATCTTAGGTGGTAGTGTACCAGAAAGTGGGACTCGTCTTTTTATTTAAGTGGTTCTTTAGGGGGCATATAATTCATCAATAATAATAGATAAACTAATGAATTATATATAAATATATATATATACATATGTATATATATTAGATGGTTGTAAATATATATACTAATTACTAAATCATGTATTACAGAAAAAAATACCAAGCTTTTGTGAATTGTGATTGACCTAATTTTATTTATCGTTCTTTCAAATATGAAACGAGGATTTTAACTAAATATGTTTATGTTAAATTACATTGAGAGTGAAACAAGTACATATTTAGTATCATCAACATATCAAATTACAGAATAAATATATATATACATATATATATATATATATTTAGTTTCATCAAAATAAAATCCCTACGGTATTCTTACAAATATCTCATTTCATGATATTCAGATCTGTATATAATGCTTCGTTAAAAACGTTCTAATTCGTATTTTTTATTTATTAAAATCAGCTAAAGAAAATCATTTCTAAGAAAACGATTCTTGATTTGGCCCTGAATGTGAAAAAATAAGAAATGCGTTTTTTAGTTTCAAATAATTGAGGTTTTTGTGTTTACTAGAGAAAAGAATGAGTTTTGGTAATAAAAAATAAAAATCATGATTCATGTGAACTCTAAATGTTTCTATATTGCTTAACGTTTTAATAAAAAAGTATAATTATTTGGTTATAGTAGATAAAAGTAGAATTACTTATTGAAACACTTATAAAACTTACACTTTCTGAGAACGTTGATCAGCTTCTCCTCCATCGGCAGCTTCTCTTTTCCTCAGGCTCTTGCCGGAATCTTCAACGTGATGATGATCGGCCTCACTCGAAGAAGGAGATGCAGAAACCCTACTTTCACTCTTAATGATTGCACCACCACCACCGACAACTTCATCACCCTTTTGACAGTTGTTATAAGTATAAGCATTATAAAAACCATTTTCTTGATCGATCGAAGAATATAAAAACTCGTTCAAAGTTGGCGAGAGCTCGAAACCCGATCCGTACGCTCCTTGAGGACTCGAGTGTAGATCAGAACTGATTTGTGATGAGACCATGTTTGCATTATAAGTGGATGGACCAGAAACGTAAGGGAGATTAACAATATTTTGGTTGGTGTTGTAATGATTATACGATGAAGTGTAGTGATAGTTTTTAAGATCTTTGGTTTCATTAGACATGACGAAGAACAGAGATCAAGAACAATTTCAACAACCAAAATATAAAAAAAAATGAGAGAGAGGAGCTTTTTTTTTTTTTTTAGAGAGAGAGGAGCTTGAAGAAGAAAAAAGGAAAGAAGAAGAACTTTTGACGTTAATGATTTTTTTAGTCGGTCTAAATTTGGTGTTAAGACTTTTGGGTCTTCTCGTATTTATGCCTTTTGAAAAATATATTTTATTTAATGTGTCTTGCTGAATAAATATCATAAGATGGCGTTTTTAAAATAATATTTTAAAAATTCTAAGGTTGAATGAAATAGTGCTATGGGTGTGAATGATTAAAGGGGATTTGACTAACTTTTTAAATGTTAAAAAACGAAAAGACTTATAAAGTTGAGTTGACGAAAAACATTTTACCTCACAAATGGAGAGTTTAAAAAGTGGCCTCGAGTAAGGAAACATTACTTGGCTTTGTTTCTTAAATGCTTAATGTGAACATTATGAACAATAAAATTGAAAGCCATTTTGATCATAAATAAACTTCATTAAAGTCCCTTTCATGAAATAATTTTGAAATGTTCCAGAATATACAATAGATACCCCACATTTGATAAAATAGGTACAATTTTTACCCAAAAAAAAACATGAGTTACAAATTTGGGTTCTTTTAGTATGCTACTTTTCTTTTGGGGACTTGAAAAAGAGTTAATATTTACCTTTTTTAAGATGTGAAAGCAGGTGGGAACAAGCTCGTGGAGGAAGCCGATGACTAATGGTTAACCGGTAACCGGAAACAGTCAGTCTCCGGTCGTTTTTTGTGTTAAGATGGAAGAGCCAAGTCAAAGATTTAAACGAAGAAAGATAACGAAGGCTAAATTTGTGAGGCTATTAGGATGACACGTGTTTTATTTTGGCACCGGCATTTGACCGTAACCGACACATGCCCTGGCACGTGGTGGACTACTGCATCTTCTTGTTCCTCAACCCTAATAAATATCAATATCGATATCAAACGTTAGTTTATTAATTTAATAATTCCAAGTCAAAGCGCATGATTATATAAAAACAAAACAAAAACTATAAAGTTTGAAACTTAGAACCAATTTACGTATAATGAGTTCCGATGTAGTTTAGTTTTTTTTTTTATATTGCTTTTGGGATTAAACTTGGTTAAGATATAGTACCAAAATTTAATTAAGAACGTTATACAATACGAAAAGAGACGTTAAGATATGATTGAGAATAGGATTTATATGCGCTATTTGCTCGCAATTTCCATTATGTATAGGTTGTAGAAAATATGACTAAAAAGCTGACGGATTACCAACGTCATCACGCTGCACAATCTCATTTCAGTTTCTCAACATCAGAACTTTCCTCGAGCATGTAAAATGAACAATGCAATCATAAACTTTTAATCCCAAAAAAAAAAAATAATAAGGATAAGAAAAATGGTCAGAAACGTTTACGAAATTTAAAACAATTTAAATTTGATTTCTTCAAACAAAAAGAGTGAAATGATATGATGGAGAAGATATAAGAAGTGAAAATAAATAAGAAAAGAGATACATAATTCCTAACGGAGAATGACAATGAGAAGTGAACATATATTGACTTTACATATGTAAGGTCAAAATGTTTTTTCCTGCTCTCTTTTATAAATATTATATGTATGTTATATATCTAATAAAACGTATCTTATATAAATTAATCATGGTTCAATTACGCCTAAGAGTGTTTCTAATTCTTAGGTAAAACCCTTTAACCCTAAGGTTAAATTAAAAACTAAATTGCGCATGTATCTCGATATTAAATCACGAACGACGGCATCATTCATGCATGTACGTAGTCTATACGAAACTTGACTACAAAAAAAATCGTAATTCAATTGTTTCCTTAAAGCAAAAAATGATGAAAATGTTTTCGAGATATGTAAAAACTACTTTTTAGCTAATCTTTTGATAGATTCTCTCGATGACCCCAGAAAGCAATCTTTTTAGCTAATTCAATTGTAGCAATCTTTTGATAGATTCTCTCGATGACCCCAAAAAGCAATCTTTTTAGCTAATTCAATTGTAGCAATCTTTTGATAGATTCTCTCGATGACCCCAAAAAGCAACTAATGAATCGTGATTACCGGTGGAACAACAACTTCAAGAATTACTACTTACGTTCTTGACGTCTTTTAACTTTTTCCAACAAAAAGAAGAGTTTATTTTTTTGTTTCCTCTATAAAAGAAGAGTTTCTATTTAGTATTCCTCTTATCTAAGGTTGATAAAAATAAACAAATCAAATGTATATTATATATCATTCATAGCGTAAAAAAAAAATCCAACCAGATTAATAAGTGCTTTGGTCAAAAAAATAAAATAAAAAGATTTATAAGTCCTTATACGTAGTAGTATATGAATACATTTTTATCTGCTATGCACTTAAGTCTTAACCTTAATTGTGTCTATTGTAATCGATCTGCTCGCATCTTCATATCAAAGAGATTTCGGTGTATAATATTTAGTTGAAGGTTTAGTATATTTTCAAGCCTTTAAAATACCAAAACGTAGCAGTCAACCTTACTGATAAGGGACAAAACAAAAAAGAGACGAAGCTATATGTTCGCAGTTGAAATCTACGACCAATTCTGTGGAATATGTACGGATGCACCAAACTTTTAAAGATTTTTGTTGGTAAGTAGGACTTTCCTTTCACTATCTTTGTTTGAACAGATTCATTTTTAAAATCTTTGTTTGAACAGTTGTCATATAGTAAGTGAGAAAGCTTAGTTTTTTTAATGAAATTTATTAAAATCTACTATATGCTAATAAAAGATTTATAAACATAAGATAGTAACCGATATCCCAAATGAATAGTGGAATTTTGTGCTTTAATTCGGGCGAAAAATTCTTGGTTTGCACACAAAAACACCTTTATACGATTAAGGGGTTTGCGCTATAATTTTAAAGTTCCAAAAAAACATTGCTCGCAGCTCAACTCACTACAATCAGTCTCAAACGAGTTACACCTACATGGCTGCATATGCACTACATCGACCTATAAACATGATATTTTGATTAAAAATATATATATATATATACTAGTTTACAAATTTTATAGTTATTTACTAAGTAATATTGGTCTTTATTTGAAGATTGATTGTAGTGTAATATATACTATATAGTTTTTGTGTATGAAAAATATATGAAAAGAATAATTTTATATATCTTTTAATGTCCATATGCAATCAAGTAAAATTGAGATTATGAGAATTTGTATGCTTCACAGAAACGCAGGGTCATAAGACTTGGCAAATTAGAGTTGCTGTTTATAGGACCGGAGTGTATAGCAAACCGGTGTATTTGAATCAATAAAATAGTTTAGTTTGTCACGAGGTCCAGTATTTTAAATGAAACGAATTAGCCTGTTTTGATACCACAAAGTGGAATAATGAAATAATGATATATAATAAAATAGTGGAAACACTTGAACAAAATGCTAGCTGTCTTGTAATACTTTTAAAAAATAGCAAAATCACTTTTCAAATAAAGAAATATCAGAATTTGCTAAATATTATGAATAATACAAAATAGTGGAATCACTTTTCGAAAACGTAACTGAGATGCCCATTCATTTAAAATGTTAAAGACTTCGTTGTTGACCTTTTCCATAGTCGAGACTTGAGACAGGGTTCTCGTTTTAAGTGTGTGACAACATAAGAAAATAATCTATTTCTTACATATTCTGTTCATTTTTTTAAAAGACTTGTGAAAAAATGTAAATAACTAAACACTACACATAATTCGTAGAGCACATATATATAGGTGAAAAATTCCAAATTTTTACATCAACATTTACACTCTTTTGGTATTATGAGCACAAATTATTAATCCAAACCGAAACAAAAGGTTTCGATCAAACCGAAGTATCAATCAGAATTTAAGGATATACAATACATGAAATGAATCCTTTTAAACCTCTTCATCACAGCAAAGCAAACCAATGGCATATATCCATTTGGTATGACATCAAAGCGATCAAGAAACCGAACATCAAACTTCTTCATCGTCATCATTAGGTGAGAAGGTAATAATACTCTCTGCTATAAGAAAAGATCAAGACAAACCAGAATTTAAACCGCTTCACATAAACCGGAAATGGCGATGTTTTGTTGTCATCTTCAGTTTCCTAAACAGAGGTGGCAGTGGATAAATCGTTGGTGCTGGTTTCCAAGAGATTTAGAAGAGTAATCCTTCCACTATTAGATCGGTCAAGCATATCAAACTGTTTAGCGATCGGATTAATGTCCTTATCGGTTATTTTCTCCATCTTCTTTAGTTTGTATATCACAAACTCTGCTTTACTGCAAAAATAAGAAGCTCTCTTAAGAAGATTTAATGATGCAGATAAAACCAAGAAGATCATTGGACGACCAAAGATCACAATATTAGTCAAATATGTTTAGGGCATCTCAGATAACAGATCGTAAGCATGGGATTTAGTTAAGCTTATGGAACTGAATCTAAAAGAGAAATGCTTTGATACCAAGGAATCAACTAGTTCAAGAACTTATATGATCAAGGTTCCTCTGAGTTTTAGAAAACACGCGCAAACCAGAGAATCCAACAGATTCAAGAATCTCACAAACGAATGATATCAAGAACCTTAACAAGTATGAACTTTAGTACTAGTTCAATTGACAAGAACTTTTGATGCATTAAACCATGAGAATCAAACGGTAGAGCCATAAACAGTACCTAACGCAGCCATTGTTGTCGATATCCGCAGCAAAGAACTGAGAGATAGACAAGTTTTCACCAAGCACTCTCTTGGCCCTCTCTCTATTCCTCTTATCAACTCTTGCTTCAGCCAAATACAAAAACGCTCGAGCAACAGCTAAAGTAGACACAAGCAACCATATCCCACCAAGAAGCCTACCGGGTAACGTCTTAAAAGCCCGGTCACCGTAACCGACCGTAGTAACCGACATAACCGAGAAATAAAACGAATCCAACCACCCAATTTTCTCAAAGAAATGCATAAGCAAAACTCCAAAACCAAGGCATAGCATCACAACACCCAAAGCCAATCCAACTTTCAACCTAATCCTCATCCTCCCTTTCTTCACATCTATTATATACGATCTCTTCTTCTCCGGCTCTTCTAAGCTCTCGTTCCTCGCAGCTTCCAACATATAGTTTTCTTGGAGATCAAGAACGTAACTTACCATCGCACTAAGCAATACATCGATGAAACCAAACCCAACGAGCACAAACAAGATCGCAAACACCTTGGTAACGACAGTATCAGGCGTGATATCTCCAAAACCGATTGTGCACATTGTGACGATACAAAAGTATAAACCATCAACAATAGGATGCGTCTGATTCACTTGATAGCTATCTCGATTCAACCAATAGAAAAGCACACCTAAGGAGAGATACACGACGAGCAAAGCAACAGCTCTTCTCACGACGGATTTCGAACCTGATTGCTCTGTTTTCAGATCAATCGGGTAAGCTAGATCGTTGATTGCTGCCATGGCAGGAGCTGTTTTGGATCGGTGGAATCTATGGTGGGTCGATTTGGGTTTTGGCCCGGGTAAACTGGGTTCCGGAGCTGGGAGGAGGAGGTCTACGTTTGAGGAATCGGAGAGCGAGGTTGTGGCGGAGGAAGACGACGGCGAAGGGTTTTGAGAGAGAGCGTCGACGAGAAGGGAGGAATCTCGTTGAGAGCGAGGAAATGGGCCGAAGATTAATCGGTTTTTGAATTCCGATGGAGTCATCGGCATCGGGATCGTGACGTCGTCGTTTTCCGGTAAGGGAAATAGAGGCGGTGGTGGGTTAATTCTAGGGCTTAGCAAGTATTGGAGTAAAGGGTCAATGTCGTTTCCGCCATTGCCGTCGTTCGACATTTTCGCCGGAAAATATTAGAAGAAGATTGAAAAAACAGGGACCAGGGTGGTTTTCCGATAAAGGAGGAAACTTTCTTCCAAAAGCCCCACCAAAGATCGAACTTTTTTTGGCTTTTGATAACTGATTTACTTAAGAGTATCATCGTTCAAATTATATAAGAAGAAAGTTTCCCAAATAAAATAATGTTTAATGTAATGTACTGGGTAAGGGTGAAATAAGTTATATTGGAAATGAAGGGGTCAAAACATAAAAACTTTAGAAATACTTACCTATTGCCATTTACAATAAAAAAAGTGAAGAAGTCCACTTTGTTTGTCAACGGCACGACGTGTCGTTTTCGCCGTTTCAGGATGACGTGGTTTCGGGAAAGACGGATTTTTGAGAATACCATTTGTTTTTAAATAATTTTTTTTGACACCTTCGGGTTTAGAGCAAAAATCAATCAAAAGGAATATTTTGACTGAGTTTCAGCAGAATGAATGCAAATTGTAGCTATAACACGTGTGAGAGAAACAAATTGTAGCTAGTATTGTAATAATGTAAATGTACATTTGTAAGGTTCCATAATAATTTAGATCAATCATGTCCTCACCCTATGATGTTTCAAGATGTTGGGGTGGGGGAGTTGCGACCAATGACTTTTTTTTATAATCTAATGTAATTTTAAAATTGCGAAATATACTGCCACAGCTCTTTATTTTGTTGTTATCCTTATTGGATTTATTTCCCCAACAATTTGTTTTCTTTGCGTAAGCCAGATTAATCATACGCTTACTCTTAAAAAGATCAGAACTTTTATTTCATAGTCTGTATCATCAAAAAAAATCTCTTTGATTCTTTACAGCTTTTTTTCTTGTTGTGATCATTTTGTTGCGGCCATGAAGCTTTTTTTATGCAAATCCTTTAAAAGAAAATGAAGCTTTTTTTATTCAATGTTTTATGTTCATAAGGTATCAAAGATAGTTTCCGAAAAAAAAAAGTATCAAAGATATCTATTTTGTTGTGGTCAAATCACACTAGTATCAAATATATTTATTTCACTGGTGTATATATTGATTGTTTAATAAAAAAAATCAAACGGTACTAAGATGATTTAATGTATTGGAAAAGGGTAACATAAAAAAAGATTTTGGTACTTTTTATCAATTTGATACATACTGTATTGATTTACACATTTAACGATTTTAATGAAAAGAAATAATTTAATTTTATGGTGTTTTGTTGGAAAAAAAATGTTACAGTGTTTAATGATTATGAGAAATATTGTTCTCTTGAATATCTTCGAAACTCTTCAACAAAACCCTGAAATTTAAGCAAAATTTTGTTTTTTATTTGTGCACAACAATTGAACATAAATTTTGACTTCATTGCTCTCATAAAGAAATACGCTATATAGATATTAATAGGTGGGTGCTCTAATTGTCTCAGCAAAACTTCTCAAATGGAAGTCTCGAAGTAACTGTATAGTCAACTTTCTTCTTCTAACTGTATCTTTGGGCTCGCACACTAATTCTACTTTGGGTAATGACAATTGTTGTCATTACCACTACTGTTGGAATTGCAATAGAGTCTATAAGATATAGTCCATAGTCTGAGAGAAATAGCTTTAGAAATTTTGTTCATAGTCTACTTAATTAGTTAATTCTACTTAATTAGTTAATTCTACTTAATTTATGATATTTGTAATTAAATACATCCATTTGAATATGATTCTATATTTTCAACTAATTAGTTAGTTATTTTTTCCTAAAATCAACCATATGGTATTCATATTCAGATAATGTAATTCGTTTAATAAAATGTATTATTTTGTATAGTAAATTTTATCTCATGGTAACAGTAACTTCTAAATCTTAGCAACAATACTAAGACCAATAATGAAAACATCATAAAACAACGCCCCAGGGATAACCAGCTGATACTAATGTTTTGGACCCTCGTGACATAAATAAAAAATCCCAACACAGACTTCAACAAAAATTAATGAATCCAAATTCATCAAACGAAAATGATTTTCTTATTTAGATATCCAAGTTGGAACAAAATCAAGAGACTATGAAAAGATTAATTCTCATCCATTGCATCGCTTGATTGCGTTGAAACCGAGTCCTCAAGTGCCTCAAGGAATGAGTCAACTGTGAACTTATCTGCAGTAAAGAATTAAGAACTCTGCTTTTAATAAAAATGAAACAAAAGCTTGATCATACCTTTGAAATTCGATAGTATGAGTCTGACTTACATTTACTTGGGTCGATACCGAACTGAGTCAAATCTATTTGTCCAGTGCGAAGTACCTAGAGAGAGATAAAGTTGAGTCAGAATAACAGAGCCAAGAAGGGGTACAACAATGTCACTGAGGGGCTTACATAGGTAAATGCATCTACTTGTTGACGAAAAGGAGGGCTCTGCAACAACTCCAGTATATCCTCTGCCCTACAGTGACCCTGTGATAAGTCTTTAGGTTAGTCTAGTACATATGACCATTGTATATCAGAGAAACGCATGTAATACTCGTCTTCATTGGATATAGAAAAAACTGAAGCCCAGTACATACTTCAGGTAAATGGGAAGACAATCTTTCTTGTACCGGTAACATCTCAAGCAATGGCATAATCAACTCCGGTTTCAAGATATCCCCTAATACCAGGCCTTCAGAAGATAGAAACATGAGAGGATATAATGGACAAAGTAAGCGATAAGGACAAGAAATGATGAAAACAAATAATTGATAACAGAGCAAGTTGGGCACTGCCATTCCTAAGCCATACAGATGTAACTTAAAAACTACATAATCATCCTGAACAAACAGAGAAGAAGTTGAATATATCTACCTTCGTCTTCATCTCCCGCAATACCTAAAAAAATACCACCATACCTGAATGAGTATATGAGGGAAACTAGAAAAGCTTATTGACAGGAGGAGTGCCAAAAGATAGAGAACTGTACCTGCAGGGCCAGCAGAGATGTTGTTCAGAATTCTTTGCAGGTCTGCCAGCTTAACTGGTTGAGACGAAGATGACACCTCTGTAGACAAATTTGGTACAACCAAGTTTCCAGCTCTATGAAAGATGAATAAATTTAAATAAGCCATTGTGTTTCAAATAAGCTAATACCATTTACAGCTAAATAATAGTATTCTTTCACATGATATTCAACACCAAATCAAGTATATCTTTCGAAAATATTCACATGATTAAAAAATAATTGGTAGGCCAGTCTTTACATGACTGTGGAAAAATAAACTTCAGAATCTCATCATCAGAGAGAAGATGATAGCTTTTGACAGCAACATCTAATCGGCCCCTGGTTAGCCCTGTCTAGAGAAACTATAATCCACAATGCAGGGTCACAAGTAGGATGCAAGATAAGAAAACCGCAAGACAAAATCTGTTTCATGAAGCTGAACAATAAGCAACCAACCCATTTCTATAGATAAAATGGTATACTTTGTGGAACGGAGGCAAAACTTAAGTCAGACTAGCATTTTGACATAATCATTACCTAGATGAAACATCATCTTCTGCCATGCCTTCCACTTCCTCCGGGACAGCAGCTGCATGTTCTTCATCGAGAAACTCTGGTGCACAAAAAATTCATTAGATTGATCCATTTAGAAATTCATTGCTTTCACTAGCAAGGGCAAGTGTTATAAACATAAAGATGATGAGAAAATAACAACTACACGCTCATATGCGAATCAATGCCGACTCTTACAAGCAGTATCAATAAAAAATGGTACAATATGTGGAAACCATATGTTCTAAGACAATTCTAAGCGTGTAGGCATCGATTAATATCTCTTTAGAAAAGTTTAATATTCTCATAATGATTTTACCTGACATTTCATTGATAGTTTGATTAACGTGATTTGATTTAATGTTGAATTGGTTCTAATTTAATAGCAGAACCGGGACAGCCTGATGAAACATTCGCCTATAGCCCCCAAAATTTTTCGTTGGTTATTTATGAATTTTTCGGCCCCCAAATCACAAAAGAAAAAATTTATTCTTAAATTGTTTATAGCCCCCAAATTCTCAGATAGTATATGGTTTTGAGGTAGTTTCATTATGTTATAATGTATATAATGTTTTAAATGATTACCACCTAGGATATGAGAATATGCAGGAAAATATATATAAGGATAAGGAAGCTAGTTCGCTGTTCACGAAAGTTTGAAGGTTAAACAGCAAAAAAGACATTGGTACCAGGATATAATTATATCCTATAATGTTTGTAACAAGGTAGCAATGTTACATGCCTAGTGGTTGATTGAGGTATTGATTGACCGAAGAGCACAGCTCTGCATCACCTTCAGCTTTCGGCTCCTGCAATGTACGTTACAAAAGGAGTTCCCAAAAACAAACAATGCATCAAGATGAAAGTGATTAGGTAAAACAAGAATGCACACATATTACGAAAAGAAAAACAAAGCTAGCAAGTGACCTGCATCCAAAAGAATAACTTGCGGTCATCACTGTTGAACTTCAGAATATACACCCTGTCTGATGATTGATTAACCTAAACAGAAATAATAATGCTAGAGTCACAATCCGAGATTAATTCACATCATAGTAACCTCAATTGAATGGGCATACCTTTTCGAATAGAGCTTCATCAGGGAAAACAATTTGATCCTACAAATGGTATCGTCAAGGAGAAAACTTCGTAATTGGAACAACTGGTAGCAACAATTAATAAGTCCCTGAATTTGTAATATATGCATGACAAAAAAGACCTCCTAGATGGATCAACCTCAGAAAGTTAATAGTATCGGGACATTTATCCACTGGCCTAGCAAAGACAACTCGAAGAACCTTTAATCCATTTCTAAATTTTGAAAAGAAAAGTGCACAGGATACATCTTCTAGCGCATTCTGGCTTCGATCAAGCCACTGGAAATGAACCAGTCCCTCTTCACCCTAAATGAGAGGATTAGAGAGAACAAATCAGATTAATTATGCAGAGAACCAGTATCGTCCACTGGAAAAGCTGATACACTTCAACGATCAATGGAACAAAATCAGATTCATATGTGATACTAAGAGTGTCGACATTACCCTAGCAATGCGGACAAGTCCTTTCCGTGTGTCAGGGACAACTCTTGTTCCCTGCAAAGACATCTTACCAGCACGAAACTCAAGCATGACTTCCTGCCAAATTTAGTCCAAACGTAAGTAGAAGAATTTACTATTTAGTAAAAGAACGAAAAAAATCCGCATAATTAAAACTTTAAGAGGAATTTATCAGTTTTCATGGTAGTTTTGGAGTTCCATAGAACAGATCAAAATCCAAGTTTTTAGAAATCATATACATTACCTATAAAAGACTCAAAATTCGAAAATAAATGCACAGCACGCAGCTCATTTGGAAATCATGTGCTCGAGTGAAAATCATTATAAACACGGTAAAGGAAACATGAAAAAACTTCAGGAATCGAGAGAAACAGATCCAAAAAGGAGGTAAAGAGGAGAAAAGACAATAATTGTAGTCAGCTTATCATTGATCAACGTAGAAAAGCTACAGATGTAAAATCAATCCATGACAAGCTATAAGGTTCCAAATAACGTTGCCAAGATACTTGAATCAAAAGCATTTGACAGAATATGAATCACAATGGAAGATACTTACATCAGTACCAGGGATGGATGTCATTGTTTTCTCACTCTTGAATGCAAATCTGTAAAAAAAAAAAACAAACTGATCTGAGTCTGCAATTCCAGAACACAACTGTTCCCTGAGATTACTATACTTTACAAACCTCTGGAACACTGACTATACAGACAAGAAAAACAGCAAAAGAAGCATATAATCGATTCAACAATCAAAACTTCCTCCATGAGAACAGCCATAAACACAATCTATATGTACCTTTCAGACGAACAAAGAAACAATTAATCTTTACTAACAGACTAACAGCCACAAACACAATCTATTTGTGAATCTCCATCTTTCATTCACAAATCCAATCCATAATTTGATTCCCAATAATGATTGCAAAGCTGATTATACAACAGAACAATCAGACATCCATGGTTATACGTTTATTAGAACACAAAATATCATTTCGAAAACAGCACGCTGATTCAGTGATTCCACTCTCACTGCTAAAGCAAAATGAACTCAAATCACATCTTCAACCTCTAACTGTTTATGGGTCCTAACTTCTTCTTATGATCTTCAGTGTCTAATTACTGTGAACTATAATCACAGAAACATCAAGTAACCACTGTCACACTTTATTAACCACTAAGTTTGGTTATCTAAAGACAGAACTACAGAGACCAAGCAGAAACAAAATGTATTATAACAAGCAAATGACACAACAAGGCGTTTTGTAGCCATGTTCTAATTACTGATCATAGATCTCACAAAAGGTCGTCCGTGGCTTGAATCAAGGAACATAGATGATCTACATAACCAAACCCATCTCATCTAAAGCTTTACTTGAGCCTCAAATAGCAGTAATCATCCAACTATTTACATAAACATTGACTACAGCAATAGATAAGCGTTAGTTGAGCCTCAAACTACATAAATCAAATCCCATCTTGAAGTAGAAAAAACGTGAGAAATAGAGTGTCTAATCGAAATAAAGCTAGGATTTAGAGAAGTTAAAAGACACCTGTCAGCATTGGGATTAAAACACCAAAAATAGAAGAAAAAAAATCGCATGAACAAGCTAAGAAGCAGAGTGAATAGAAGAAGAAATAATGAAAACACAAGCGAGAAGAGTCAAGATACAGTAAGGAGAAAAAGATATTACCAGTATGAGAATCGAAGCTGGAGTTTGTAGAGATCGAGCTCGGAGAGGAGTTTAAGTTCCGGCAATAGCTTCGGCTGCACCGAAAAAAAATCCAAAATCAGTTTGGTGAGATTTTAAAACCCTAAGATCAAGGTAATTGAAAATAGCGATTAAATACGCGAAGGAGGCGGACAGGCGGAGGAGGAGGAAAGTCGGAGTAATTCACTCACCGGAGATATGAAGGGTCGTCGGAGATAACGATATCGGCGGAGAGGAGGAGAGAATTTTTTTTTCAGAAGTCTTTGAAGAACTTTTTTTTCTTATATCGGGGAAGTAGACGTTTTAGTTTTTTTTTTTTGTTTTGCATTTAGTTTTCCAATTATTTTTTTTATCAAAGTAAATTGGATTAATTTTTTTTCTTAAGGGTAGTAAATCCAATAGGAACTTAAGAAAAAATCCAATACAGTTGGATTTTTTCCCAATAATTTATTTTCTTTCCGTAAGCCGGATTAATCATACTCATTCTTAAACTTTATTTAATATGCTGTATCAACATACAAAAATCTCTTTGATTTGTGATCATTTTGTTGCAGGCGTGCAGCTTTTTTATACAATGTTTATGTTCATAAGTTATCAAAGATATCTAATTTTTGTGGTGTAATCACATAGGTATCAAAAATATTTATTTCACTGGTCGATATATTGACTGTTTACTACAAAAAAAAATGATGGCAATTAGGGAAGCTAAGGCATTAACAAACAGAGTAGCTATGTGATTAGAAAGTCATTGAGAAAAGAATCATTGAAAAGAAAGTCATTAGCTTTGGGTCTGTTGATCTATGATTAGTAGTTGTCGTCTCTTGGCAAAAACCATTGTTTGGTTTGGTCAGATGGATCACTTGTACTGTTTTGCTGCTGTTCTTGTTCTTCTTGTCGTTGTTGGTGGCTCTCTCTGAAACTATGTCTCTGCTGATTCCAATGATGCGTGACTGATCTCCAAGTAGTATCTTCTCCTCGCACACCCGACACATTGGTGTTTACATTCTGAAATCAAACCACGGCAAAGACACACACACAAAAAAAAAACACAAGTGTTAAGGATATAACAAACCGGAACATCAAATGCTCACACACACTAAGAGAGATTTTACCTGATGCTGACTCCCATTGAACCCTGAGCTTGCAGCGTTTTCACTCGACCCTAAGACATTTCCAAAGCTGGGCCGTGAGTTTGCAGCGTTATCACTCGACGTGCCAACACCGTGACCAGAACCGTGACCAGAACCGTAAGACGCAGAACCGTAAGCATCACTGTAAGCTGTGCCGGAAGGAACAATAGCGACAGATGATGACTGGGGCATATGAATGTTCCTGTACTCAGGACGAGGCAATGAAGCCAAAGGCTGATAAATTCCTGATGGATACAAGTAATAAGAGTGCACCAGATCACCATATGGCGGTATAGTAAGCCAAGGCCGAAAGTATTGGTGGTTCATGGCTTGTCGGTTCCTCTGTGGTACAATCATAGGACCGGTTCTTAGTGCCTCCTGCAACATATGAAAATCAAGAGAAACTACTAAAACACATGAACCACAAGAGTTAAAAGAGAAAGTTGCTTTATAGAGAAAAAAGAGTGTACATGATCATTCATGGAAGCTGATGGCCTACGAGGTTGTGAAGATGGAGTATTAGGCCTTGACTGATTGAAAGGACAAGCCGAGTACTGAGGAGGATTCTGTTCTCTCGTGTATGCTCCTTGATCCTATAACAATATATGTAATTAAGAAGAAGAAGCTTAACGTATAAGTTCTTGATTCAGCTATAATTAAAGAGCCTTAGAGACAAAAGGTAATTTTTTTTTAAAAGAAATTTTACCACCATAACGTTGGAGAATGTAATAGAACTCTGCATCTGAAGACTTTGTTGCAGCGCAGGATTCAACCGTTGACTGTTGTCTTGAAGTGTTAAATCTTGAGCAAATAAAGAAGAATTGTGCTGACTTTCTCGAGCAGGCTCACGAGTTGCATACTGTCGAATTTGATCTCTTCTAGCATTGGACTCAACAACTGAGTTAGGGATGGATTGGTAACATCTGCCTTCTCATGCAAGGGACGATCATCCTTGACCGGAGCTTTGGTTACAGTACTCTCTTTCGATAAACCTGAAGCCGTCTTCAAAACATCAGCCATTGTTCCATCCCAAGGAGTTATCATTCTAGTAGGACCTCGTACAGGCCTAGGCAACGAGGGAACTCTATTCTTAGTTTCAACTTTTGGTAGATCACTGCAAAGAAAAGGAAGGGATATATATATATATATATATATATATATATATATATATATATATATATATATATATAACGAGGAATGTTACTAAGCAAGATACAGCCATTGTTCTCTGGATAGATTGATACCTAGAAGGAACTGCTATAGCGGAGCTTACTGGCACTATCTTAGTTCTAACTCTTGGTGGATCACTGCAAAGACAAGGAAGGGATATATATAACGAGGAATGTTACTAAAGCAAGATACATCCATTGTTCTCTGGTAATTGAGCTCGAAGATCGATACCTAGAAGATGGCACAGGTAACAAGGAATGTTACAAGGAAGATAGTTAAGCTATGCCATAACTTATATGCGATGAAGATGCATCATTTGAACAAGATTAAGGCCTTTTAACAAGAGATTAATCGAGAGAAACGACATGTAAAGAACCTGTTATGTGTATATGGACCAAGGATTCTGGAAGTAGTAGATGTTTCAGTCAACTGATTAGAGGTTCCTTGCGCATCACTCGTCTCTGAAACCAAAAAAATTGGTGATCATTTTAGACATTCTTTTAAAGATATAGAACCACAATACACAGAAGAGAAACAAGTCCATCTCATTTACCATCTGAGTTAAGCTTGTTTCCATCACTGCCATTCGATTCACTATCCTTGATGCTATTGTCAACTCCATTAGAACAAGAATCCGTTTTGTCCTTTGTCTCTCTACATTCTGTTGCTAACACCTCATCCTTCTTGACGACTTCATGAACAGGTACTGGAATTTTTTTTTTTTTTACTTTTAGAAATCAACTTGATTGACAAGAATCACGATGTGGAACACAAAACCAGAGCGATATTGCAGAAACTACACAAGATAAATGCACAAGTAGCAATTGGTTTTTAGGTTAATCCTCTGAATCTAATTCGTAGCAAAGAATCAACTGATCTTCAGGGCCTTTCCAGAAATAGATAACAGATGGTGATTTGACCCAATCAAGAAAAAAGAGACATTACTACTATTTCAAGGAAAATCCTAAACCAGGGTTTAAGAGATTCTCTAGCGGAAACGAACCAAAGAAACCTCATCGTCGTTTTCAAGGGAGTTTGGGCAATGCTCTGTTTTCATCATCTTTTCGTTTCTTCTTCTCACTTTAATTTCAAATCAAACGACTTCGAAAAAACTTAAAACCCAGAAAGAAAGGAAGAAGCTTTTTTCGAAAGAAACCTTGTTCAAGAAGACGATTGGTGGCAAAGTCTTCCTTCATGTTGTATTCTACAAGCGTTTTGTAAATCTCTTGTTCCGGAAGATTCAAGATCTCCTTCATATTCTGAACAAAGTCTCTCGAATCGGCCGGAATACCATCGGCGTTTACGTTACTCTCTTCGTCTTTCGCGCCCTTCTTTTTTCCTCTGTTTTTCGCCATTTTCTGACGGAAAACGAAAATCCCAATTCGAAATCTGTGACAGAAACTTTTCGAGCTTTATTTCACAGTCGCACAGAAGAACGAACAAAAAAGATTTCTCTCTCTCTCTCTCTCTCTCTCTCTCGCTTCTTCTTGGCTTCGAGTATCAAGAAACCTTTTTAAACTTTCCCTCTCTGTTTCTCTCTTTCAATCTTTGGGGCTTTATAATGGTTTTGGGAAATGGAAGAATATATTCTCCAAACTTTATAATGGAAAATGTAGTGAAAAGTTCGTTTTTTTTGTCCAAAGTTGGATTAAAATCGTAAATTATAAAAATTATTAGTTATAATTTAATACATAAGATTACGAGGACTTATTTGAAAATACTTCTAAATACATATTATTGGTTTAAGTCTTCACCAACCAATAAAAAACTAACGGTTTAAACAAGATGAGGCTCTTGCTTCCATTTTCCTCGCCGTTATCCGCCACGTCACCGTCGGCGTCGCCGCAATTGTTCCCGGAATATCCACCTCCGACGCTAATCGACCACTCTGGTCTCACTAAAATCCTCAAAAAATCGGTAATCGGAACCCTAACCGGAGCTCTCTCGCTCACTCTCGTATTCTCGTCGCCGATTTCCTCCGTAGCTGCTGCCATTGATGACCCTTATCTATCTCTGAATCCGCCTTCATCATCGCCTAATTCTTCTCTGAATTACTTCGATTCGTCGCCGGAAGATTGCCCTAACGAGGAAGAAGCTGATACTGAGACGCCAGATGATGACGTCAGGCCTCAGTTAGTAACTAATGAAGGGATTGTTGAAGAAGCTTGGGAGATTGTTAATGACGCCTTTCTCGATACTCGAAGCCATAACTGGACTCCTGAAACTTGGCAGGTAGTTAAATAGCTTTTTGGGTGGATAAAGGAAGAAACTTTTGTGTAAAGATCGAATTTTTTGTTACTTTGCAGAAACAGAAGGAAGAGATATTGGCTAGTCCAATAAAGAGTAGATCAAAGGCTCATGAAGTGATTAAGAAAATGCTGGCCAATTTGGGTGATCCGTACACTCGGTTTCTCTCACCAGATGAGGTTTTTGTTCTTTACATTCAGTATTTGGATTCTATGAGTTTGATTGATGGATGAGTCTTAAAGCTGTTTCAGTTACATATCTGTTTGTTTTGTGCTACTTGTTTGAAGTTTTCCAGGATGTCGAAGTATGACATCACCGGTATTGGAATAAACCTTAGAGAAGTTTCTGATGGTGATGGAAATGTAAAGCTGAAGGTTCTTGGTCTTGTGTTGGACGGTCCTGCTGATATTGCTGGCGTGAAACAAGTGAAAAACCGGTCTAGTTTCTTTCTAGAAGTTTTTGTTCGCTGTTTGGTTTGCTCAAAGTGTGCAATGCCTTTCTCTTGCTAGGGAGATGAAATTCTTGCTGTCAATGGAATGGATGTTAGTGGGAAATCATCTTTTGAAGTATCATCTTTGTTACAAGGCCCTAGCAAAACTTTTGTGGATCTCAAGGTAATTATTCTTAATTATAAAAATACAAGCTAACTACATTACTACTTGATATGTTATGAAGTTATATCCATATTGTAGGTGAAACATGGGAACTGTGGACCTCTTAAGTCAATTAAAGTCCAGAGACAAGTTAATGCAACGACGCCAGTCTCTTACCGGTTGGATCAAGTTGACAACGGAAAAATCTCTGTCGGGTATATCCGGCTAAAAGAGTTCAATGCCTTGGCTAGAAAAGATTTGGTGATTGGTAAGCCTTTTCAAAATTATGGACTTGTGGCTCCATCTTCTTAACTTCTTGTGTTTACGCTACCATTTTGTGACTATGTGTAGCAATGAAACGACTCCAAGACAAGGGTGCGTCTTATTTTGTAATGGATCTTAGAGATAACCTTGGTGGACTTGTGCAGGTTCAATCTACAACTGTTACTTGATACCATATCTTCTCAAATACTTTACAGGCACTTGATTCTTCACTTGGCCTTCGTTTCTTAATTTTTGGTTATTTTAGGCTGGAATAGAAACTGCTAAGCTGTTCCTAGATGAAGGGGATACGGTAAATCAACTATCACTTAGAATTTTCAAAATATTAAGAGATTCATTGCTGTTTACTTAAACTCCTGTTGTATGTTTCAATTCCGTAACAGGTGATATATACAGCCGGGAGAGACACCGAGGCTCAAAAAACTGTTCTTGCAGATAGAAAACCGTTGATCACTGCCCCACTTATTGTATGTGATGGATCATGTAAGCCATTTAATTTTTCACACTATAATGCTTTTCTTGCACCATGAGCTGATTAGAATCCTTATCATTGTTGCAGGTAATGGTAAATAACAGAACAGCAAGTGCTAGTGAAATTGTGAGTAATCTCAATCGATAAGCCATGGAAAACTCGTCTTTGTTTGGATCATTTAACGAAATGATTTGTCTGTTTTTTCAGGTAGCTTCTGCACTTCATGATAACTGTAAAGCAGTTCTTGTTGGCGAAAGAACTTACGGAAAGGTTAGTTACTAAGTCTAAATAGTTTTCTATCGATTTGAAAAGTTTGTGATCATCTACTTGTGGATTGAATTATGGGTTTCAGGGTTTGATTCAATCGGTTTTCGAACTCCGAGATGGCTCTGGAGTCGTTGTGACAATAGGAAAGTATGTCACACCTAACCATATGGACATCAATGGTGGTGGAATTGAACCTGATTTCAGAAATCTACCAGGTTTAATTGAGTTCTTGAATCTTGATTTTTATTTTTACCATTTGAATACATTCACTAACTTCGTTTTAATATTTTATTTTATGTACATTATGATCAAGCAGCTTGGGATGAAGTGAAAGAACGTTTGTCTAAGTGCAACATTCTCCAACAAAGCTGAAACATGATGCAATTCATCAGGCTGTCTTTGGGTGTATATATACACGAAACTAGCCAAATTTTTGGGTGTGTCAATGATTACAGAAACATGTGGGTGTAATTGAAATTCCGGCTAAATTTTAAGGGCCACATAATAACAAATGTCAATGTTATTCATGTGGAAACGCTGCCAAATATTTGGACGTGTCAAAATTCAAAAGAAAAGAAACGTTTTGGCTGTTGATAAACTTCCGTCAAATGTAAAAACCGGATTCATGTGAAACGCAGCTGCCAAAAATTGGGGGTGTGAAGAATAAAAGAAACAGTCAGGGGCGTAAATTAAATCTTAGCTATATTAAAGGGCTAAAAAATAATTGCCGTCATATGAAATCCCCGCTGAGATACAAAACTAAAGTCGTGCCCTTCAATGGTGTCTACGGAGGTTAGCACCGCCGTCTCCGGTATGAAACCAATATCTCCGCCTCAAGAATCTGACGGCTCTGCTGGTAAACCCTTATTCTATTTCTCTCTCTCTGTCTACATTATGGGCTTGCCCCATTGCAGAGCCTTTCCGCCATTACTCAGAAGAAGCGAGTAGAAAATCATAAGTCACCTCATTGGGTTTTTTTCTTTTTTGGTTTGCAGATATCTTCGATAACGATAGGCTAAAGGAAACTTTTTCAAGTGGAGAACTTGAGTTTGATGATTGGACTTTGTTAATCTCCGAAATAGAGACTTTGTTCCCAGTAAGTCGCATTTGGTGTAAAGTTGAAAACTTTGCGAGTTGCATTCCATTTAACAGTTAACTGATTTCGTGATCCAAAACTTGCTATTTTGTAGGATGATATTGAGAAGCTATGTTTAGTTTACGATGCTTTCTTGTTGGAGTTTCCATTGTGCCATGGCTATTGGAGGAAATATGTTTATCATAAGATACAGTTATGCACTTTAGAAGATGCTGTTGAAGTTTTCGAACGAGCTGTACAAGCAGCTACTTATTCTGTAGGTGTTTGGCTCGACTATTGCGCTTTCGGTGTTGCTGCGTATGAAGATCCTCATGATGTTAGTAGGTATTTCTGAACTTTTGGTAGGCTCTGCGTTTCTATTCTTTGAGTAACCAATTATTCATAACTCCCACTTTAATCTGGAACTCAAAAACAATCTTACTATCATTGCAATTTTTTCAAGTAATAGAGCTCATTTTTTCCTCATGTGACTGGAATTGTTTGAGTTGTTGATAGAACTCTTACTTTCATTTATGTCATTTTCATGATCTTTTGTTTTAGAAAGAATCAAAGGCTGATTTTTGGAACTGATTACTTCACATTTAAATGATCTGGCAGATTATTTGAGAGGGGCCTTTCGTTTGTTGGAAAAGATTATTCCTGCTGCACTCTCTGGGACAAATATATAGAGTTCCTTTTGGGTCAGAAGCAATGGAGTTCACTGGCTCATGCATATCTCCGGACCCTGAGATATCCATCCAAAAAATTGCATCTCTATTACAAAAAGTATGTCCTTTTACAGATGTTCTATAATGATAATGACAATTATGATGTTCAGATACTTCGAGTTCCTGTGGCTTAAGATTGTCCATTACATTATACTTGTCCTGTACGTTTTCCAGCTTCAGGAAGATTGCAGCTTCTTTGAGAGAGAAGATTAAATGTGGAATAGTTGTTAATGGAGACCTTTCCTCAGACCCCATGGAAGAAGATTTGGTCCCTACACGTCACACTGATGAGGAGATCTCTATTGTTATAAGAGACTTGATGGGTCCTTCCTCTATCACGGCTGTGTCAAAAGCATTGCATGGATATTTGTCAATTGGAGAACAGTTTTATCAAGATTCACAGCGATTGAAGGAAAAAATAAGTTGCTTTGAGACGCATATCCGCAGGCCTTATTTTCATGTAAATCCGTTGGACACTAATCAGCTGGACAATTGGCATGCGTATTTGAGCTTTGCCGAAACATATGGAGATTTTGACTGGGTAGGGGAATCTCTTAGCTTCGTGTTCAGTTTGGCTTTTGTTCCGTTCTTGTTTAAATTTGAAACTTTTTCATTTTTAATTGTAGGCTATTAAGCTTTATGAGAGATGCTTAATACCGTGCGCTAATTACACTGAGTTCTGGTTCCGCTATGTGGATTATGTTGAAAGCAATGGTGGAAGGGAGCTAGCAAACTTTGCGTTGGCTCGAGCATCACAAATTTTTGTCAAGGTAAATGGGATTACGATTGCTTTAGTGTTATAAAAAAAATGGGAATCAAGGACGATGAACAACTAGGATCATACATTGACTTGATGCCCTTTTATGTTCATTGTAGAATGCATCTGTTATCCATCTATTCAATGCAAGATTCAAGGAACTCGTTGGAGATGCATCTGCTGCTTCCGTTGCTCTGTCTCGATGTGGGGAGGAACTTGGTTTTGGTTTTGTTGAAAATGTAACTAAAAAGGCTAACATGGAAAAGCGTCTGGTATGGATGATTCACTACTCGGTACCATTTGTTTTTGATGACTCAGTGCTCAAGGGTGTCTAATTTATTCGGTGTTCCATCTAGGGTAACTTTGAAGCGGCTGTTACTACATACAGAGAGGCTCTGAAGAAAACACTCATTGGAAAAGAAAATTTAGAAACCACTGCACTGTTGTATGTCCAATTTTCTCGTCTCAAGTACATGGTAAGTAAATGTTTTTTTTTTTTTAACAACAGGTTTATATTATAATTATCTGTCAATAACATGTCACGATTTAGAGCTCTGGGAAACTATTTGGGTCACTAGCTTACCTTCAATGCGTCACAGAATTTGGAACTCTTTCTTCACCTGACGGCTTACTTCTTTCTTAGATAACAAACAGTGCTGATGAGGCAGCTCAGATTCTGATAGAGGGCAATGAGAAAGTTCCTCACTGCAAATTACTTCTTGAGGTGTGTAATTGGCTTGATTCTCTATAGACATTTATTCAATCACGATTGCCCATTGGAATTCATATTTTTTTTCTTCCGAAGTTCTATAAGCGTCTATTAACATTTTCAAGCTTCAATTGCTGTTAATCTTTGTGCTAACAGGAGCTTATAAGACTCTTGATGATGCATGGAGGGTCTCGACAAGTGGATTTGTTAGATCCTATCATAGATAGAGAAATATCTCACCAGGCAAATTCCTCCAATGGTCTGAGCGCAGAGGATAAGGAAGAGATATCGAATTTATACATGGAGGTAAGGTTTCTTTTACAGATTGGTCTTTCTTGCTTTTGGCCTTTTCTATTGAATCTCCTCTCATTTCTTGATCGCATAGAATGTTATTTGATACTTTGTAATTGCTTTCTGTTTCGAGCAGTTTATTGACCTCTCTGGAACCATCCACGATGTGAGAAAGGCTTTGGGGCGACACATAAAACTATTTCCACATTCTGCTAGAGCCAAGTCACATGGGTCTTGTCCTTTGCGGAAATCATTCAGAGAGTTAATTCAGAGAAGAGAGAAGACCCGTGTGTCCTCGGTTCAGGAGTTGTCAACAGACAACAGCATTGACGATACAGTTGTATTGCCAGCCGAAGAAAAGAAAGAGTTGCCTCTAGACTCTGATGGTGCCCAATCTAAAGGTGCTGCTCGGTCAGACTATTTAAACACCGAGCCTAACCAGGGGTCTCTGTCTTCAGGATTTCAAGTTGAAGGAAACAATAATGTTGGAGACAGGGAGAATCTCTGTGAGTCACAGAGTGATCTGTCCTCAGGATTTAAGGCGGATGAAGGTGGTGAACGATCTCGTGAAGTAGGCTTACCGATCCAAGCCACACAAAAACATGGTTTTGTCACTAAACAAGCTCACTTCTCGCCCAGTTCAGTAGATACTGTGAAATCTGATGCTATTGAGATCCAACCTAGTGGCTCACGGGGTCCCCAAAGTTATCTAAACCAAGAGTCTCAGAGGCAAGCTGGTCGAAACAGGTACCATAGAAGAGATCTAAACCAGAATCAAAGAGATTGGAAACCTCGTTCTCACGAGAGACATCCCCAGATGTCATATTCTCCAGTCGAAACCGGGCAGGGGATTTTTAGTCAGCAGAGGGGTGTTGCCACTATTGACAATAGAACAGCGGTACAAAGCTCAGTCTCTCAGACTCCACTTAACCAATATCAGAACTCTGCCTCTCAGCTGCATCCCATGGTTCAAACATCCACTGCTTATCCTCAAAACCAGGTTCTTGGTCAGCACATGAGTGTAGCCCCTTCAAACAATCCATCAACACCTCAAAGCTCAAACTCACAGATTCCACAGAACCAATATCAAGACTCTGCATCTCAGGTTCAAACATCCTATGCTTATCCTCAAACTCAGATTCCTCAGAATCCAGTGCAAAGTAGTGACCAACAAGAAGGTCAGATGCAGAGTAACGAAGCTTATAACCAGATGTGGCAACAGTATTACTATTACAATTACTACTACCATCAACAACAACAGCAACAGCTTCTGTCTCAACAAGCACAACCAAATCAGAATTCCCAGCCGCAACTAGATCCGAACCTTCTGCAACTTATCTCCAAACAGTACCAATCTCCACCCCGAACTCAGTATCCACAATCTCAACAGGTGGAGCAACTCAATACACAGCAACAGAGCAAAGAACCAACAAGTCAGCAGCAAATTCAATTCCAGCAACAACAACAGGAATGGTTCCAACAGCAACAACAATGGCAACAACAGCAACAGCATCAGTACTACCTTCAGCAACAGCAGTCACAAGGAGAAGCAAAAGGTGATGAACAAAGACAACCTGTGCCACAAGTTTCCACAAGAGACAGTTATGATATTCAAAAGGTTTGCTTCAAAAACAAAACATGAGTTGCTTCAAAATTTTTGGTTTCTTTTGTTAACATCTAAAGCGGTTTACTAAGAATATTTGCTCTTCTTGTAGAGTCAAGAATCTGGAGAAAATGAAGTAGATCAATCTTCTGACACGTCCATCACTTCTGTTTGAGTTTCATGAAAGCCTAACTGTTGTTATACTAAAAGGCTTGAGACTAAATATAACACGGGATTATTTCAGTGGACGAAAGTGAAGCAATTTCAACTTTTAGCACATTTTCGTAATTTTTTATATTTTTTTTGGTCTGTGTTGCGAAAAATCTAGAAAAGAATCTAAATAAATCAAAAGTTTTTAAAAAATCGAGGGCTTGAACACGCGTCAAATTATGTGGGTGAGTCGTCCAGCTGGTTTAAGTACACACGTGTTTGCACTTAATTGGATGAGAAGCGCCCACCAAAGGAACAAATCGTAGCCGTCGATGTGATCCAATAGGAGCCGTCATAATTCTGTATTGACCGTTCGTGGAAGTTATGTGAGAGAGAAAGAAACCCAGAGAGACCTCCCACAAGTAGAGACCACAAAACCAAAAGAGAGAAGCTCTCTCTCTCCTCTCTCTGTCTATCTCTCTCTCTCTCTCTCTCTCTCTCTCTCTCTCAGGTCGGTCTTCGTCTTCTTCTCCAAATTTCGATCGCTTTCTTCTTCTGTAATTTTTGTTTGATTGTCTTTAGTTTATCATTTTTGTTTTCTTCTGTGTTGTTTGACTTTCGATTTCTTATTCCTGTGTTTGTTTTTATTTATTCCGACGTGATTTGTTAGGAAAACCTGCCATTTTCATCCGGGGTTTCTGGAAGTTTTTTCCCTTTTGTTTTGTTGTTTTTTTGAATTCTGCTGGAAAAGAGTTTGAATTTGTGAATTTTATTTTGGGGTTTGGCTTTCTGAAATTTGTGAAATCTGGTAAGGTTTTAATTGAGTTATATTTGAATTTTTGATTCTGCCGAAATAGTTTATTTTTAACTTTTTATTGTTGTTTAGCTATCGAATTTTTCTTAACGATTGCTTGATTCGATGTTAGTGTATCTCTGATTTGGAGTTGGAATTCTAGTTCTTAGTGAAGCATGTAACTTTGTTTTTGTTTCTCTGATTGATTTGCTTACTTCTCTACCGATTTAGGAAAAAGAGACCTATTTGTGAATCCTATTTAGGTTTTTCAGTTTAAGATTCTGGGTTTTGCTATTTCTGATAGGTTGACTTTTGGATTTGTTTGTCTTCTCAATTTTGTCTCCATGAGCCGAGATTCCATTTCAATCTTCTTTTTTTTTCTCTTATCAGTGTCCTTGGATTTTTGGTTTGATTATTCAAATGATTGATTGTGGTTGGCTCTGTTTTGCAGCATCTGTAGTTGGATTGATCCATCAGTAAGGTCTCGTTGCACCTAAATGTGCTTGATCCAAGGTCGCTACAATTCGACATACAGAGCCAATGCCATATATAGAAATGAAGAGCAAGATTAGTAAGGTTCTTGGTGTCTGTAAGAAACATAAAGCAACTACAAGAAATTCATGCTCTCTGTCCAAAATATCAGGGCACATGGAAAGCATGACAACAGCTACTCATACTTGCCACGCCGACGAGAAACAGCATCTTGGTAAAGCTTTTTCCTTGTTAAAGTATTGTGTCCAATTGTTGACTTAGATCATCTGAGAAAATTATTTTCTGGTGTCATCAGTTTTCGGTAATGCTTCTTTGGTTTCCTCTCTCTCTGATGATTATGTTAGTATCTTCAGGTTTGGATACTTTTGCTCGGGATATTGAAACCAATGAGCCTGCTGAAATGCTGGTTGAGGACACTTCTCAGTCTCAGGCGTTTGCATCTTCCGTTGATGGCTCTGAATCTGTCGACAAAATTGTAATATTTGTTTGATATATGCAACTGACTTTCAGTTATCCTTTATTTCATAGGTACTAGATGAGTAAAACTTTATTGATTCTTTTGTAGGAAATGGCTTGCAGTTATATGTCAAACTCGGATACGATATTTTCACCTGTTTTGAATGATGAACTGGATGGAACAGATCGAGGTATCTGTTACTGTGCAGTTTCGATCTTAGTTTTTCTTTTTTTGATAGATAATAATCTGACAGATTTCTTTCCTCAGTGTTCACGGCAGGAAACTCTGTACACTGGGAAATTCCCAGGTGGGGAGGCGACGAGAGCAGCAACAAGATTTGCTTTGACAGCCAAACGTGCAACGTTTCTGATTTCTTTATTTCTGACGTTCTTATCGCGAGCTTACCGTTTGATGAGAGTGGAAACAATGATGCTTTCACCGAAATAAGCCCCTTTCCTCATTACATATTTCCTGAGCAGTACATGTTACTACCTTACTTGGAAGATGGATCAGCCAACACAGATGATGTTAAGTCAGATGTCGAAAACAGGATTAATCTCGATGACCATGACTTATTTCTGGCATTCAACCGGACAAGATCGCACAATACAGTACCAGATCACGCTGAATCTGAACAAGCAGAAGATTTTGATCCTCAGCTTTTTATAAAGAATCAGCCGGAACTATCGGATGTTGTATCCAATTATTGGCCTAGGGATACCCTGAGAAAGAAGGCTGTTACTCTTGTCCTTGATTTGGATGGTATGGATTCTCTCAATTTAATTCTTCTTGACTCTGACTTGTCCTTTCACGATAGTCTTCATCATGAGCTCAGTTTTTCCTTTGATTTTATGTTTTATACTGAAACATGTTTAGACACAGAATGTTAACTGAATAATTTTCATTTTGATTGATTATATGATGAGGAATTTCGAAACATATTTTATGTCTATACATACTGTTAGATTTTTTTTTGTCTCTTACCTCTAAGGTGGAAGTGCTACGCAACTTTTCTGATATTTCTTTTTCTAAAATGCAGAAACTTTGGTCCATTCGACTCTGGAATCTTGCAATGTTGCAGATTTTTCCTTTCGAGTCTTTTTCAACATGCAAGAGAACACAGTCTACGTGAAACAAAGGCCACACCTATACAGGTTCTTGGAGAGGGTGGTAGAATTGTTTCATGTCGTTATCTTCACGGCAAGCCACAGCATCTATGCCTCTCAACTTCTAGATATATTGGACCCAGATGGAAAGTTCATATCGCAGCGTTTTTATCGTGACTCATGCATTCTTTCGGAGGGAATCTACACGAAGGATTTAACTGTTCTGGGTCTTGATTTGGCCAAAGTGGCTATAATTGACAACTGTCCGCAGGTACTTCATCTGGAAATCTGCCATGGATCTTGACATTTTCAATTGAACTCGATTATTTCTTTATGCTTATTGTACTCTCTTACCAAGAACACTATTCATTTCATGAAAAGACACAACCATCAATTTCAGTTTGAAGAATATTAATCACATCGCAAATTTCAAGCTTTTCGGTGTGGAAACTCTGGTTTCCCTGTTGATAATGTAATTCTTGTCTTTTTTAATTGTTCCAGGTGTACAGGTTGCAAATAAATAACGGGATCCCTATCAAAAGTTGGTATGATGATCCAACTGATGATGGTTTGATTACTATACTTCCCTTCTTAGAGACTTTGGCTGTTGCTGATGATGTTCGGCCTATCATTGGCAGGAGATTTGGTAACAAGGAATAAGAGCTTCCTTTTCTTTTCTTCTATATACATCGAGTGCAGATTATGATTTCTTTCCTTTCGAATTTTAGTCATAAACTGGCCCTTAATTTTAGTTCCTCATATATCTTTTTAGGTCGTTAATTAGGTAACCAAAGAATAAGCTCGTTGAGTCTAGTGAGAGTAAGTTTTCCTTGCTTGCTCGCTTTTTTTTTTCAGAACTTCTGAATAGAAGACCTAGTTGTGGGCTTAAATCTTATATTTTTACTGGTTCTTCTCTGCCAAGATAGATCCTAGAAAATCTTGCAGTTTGTTACAAATGTACAGTTGGTTAAGCCAGAGATAATGGATGTGTACAAATGAGCTGTTATTGCGTGAAATCATTTTGGAAGCTAACACCATCTGCATTCATGTCTTTAACTGCTTCGTCGCCGTTCATATGAATACAGAGAAAGCTATTCAAATAATGCAGAAGTTGAGTCTTGAATATTAAATCATGAATCTTTATCCAGATTTATATGGTTTATTTTAAAGGTTTTGAGCAAAGTCATTCCACTTTTCGCCTCTTGGCTTTGCAACATTCAGATAAGATATCATAACTTCGAGGTGGGAGGAATACTGAATATACGATGATCGGGAGAAGTTCATGGTATATAGTCTATAATCCTCATTACAGTTTTCATAATTTTACATGCCTTATGTGCAGATATCATCCATCGAAGTAACGAACCTTAACTATAGTATACGCTTTAAGGAACTGACGAGTAAGTATGTTAAATCCGTTTTTACAAGTCATTTTTTTTTTTTTTTCCTAACAAGCTTCTTTTGCCTCTGGTTTCTTGTTTCCTTCCTCTTTAACCTTGTGGTTGCCTGAACCAAAGCCATGTAATCGTTATACTGAAAGCTGTCTCCACTTTTTCATGATAATAGACTTGTATCGTACACATAACCATAGATGACTATTAATATGAATATCTCAGTTTCAGTAATGTTGTTGATCAGTAACTGAGGTTGGTTTGTTTTGACCTTCCTAAGTTTTAAAATTATGTGCTGCGATTGGTTTAAAGTTCATTAGTGTGTTGATCTTTGATTTCTTCCTGAACCAAAGCTCTGGTAAAACCAACTCAGGCACTCTATAATCTATGAAAAAAGATTTCTGGATTGTTTCTCGACACTTTTTTTTGGGTTTTTCTAAACGTATAGAGTCTATAGTATAGTAGTAATCATTTCACAGTTTTAAAGAAACTTTTCTTCAATCTGTAGAACCCTTGTAGACTTATAGTCTACATGGATTCTGTTGTAGTGTAGCCATCATTCTATAATCTATAGTCTACAACTATATAGTATACAAGAACCATTGTAGAGTTTTAAAGAAAATTCAATATTCTTCAGAAACCTTTGTAAAACCTTAAAACGTCTACTACACAACACTTTCACGTGGTTTTATGGTGATAACTGATGAGATACGTATAACGCATGTCAGTATTACTAAGTAATCAAATATCTGATTTAATTCTGTGAACCAATTTTGACATTCTAATCTGGTCAACGGTTCTATCGGTTTTCTTTCGACTTTAACCGTTAAATTAAATTTTGAGTTCTGATGTAAGCGGATTCGACCAGAAGAATGATTCTCTCATTCGGACAGCCGATTTGTCTTGTTTTAAAACCATTAGCTAAAGAAAGAAAATAATGAGCACACACACGCGACGACCAAATTAAAACCTTCCGAATCATATAGAGTCTTCTATCAGAGATAAACTTCTTCGTATCCATACACCATTGCAACTGAAGAAGACATTGAAACTAGAAAGAGAAGATATGCAGAGAGCTTCTGCGCTTCTGTGTTCTTCGACCTCAATCACTTTCAAACCATTTCAACTACTTAATCCCAATATTTCCCTTCATTTCCCAACCTTCGAACTATCTCCTTCCGTGTCGTCTTTGTCTCGTTCTCCATGTCACTTCAGTCTCGTGAGGGCTCGAGGAAAATCCAGCTTCATCGTTCGTAGCACCGGTAATTATGTTTTTTTTTTTTTTTTTGGGTTTACTTGGTAATATTTTGTGTATAGAAAAAGTGGGTTTCTTTGATTCTTATTTGTTTTGGGATTTGGGTTTCTCTGTCTTGTTATTCTTGCATAAATCTATTCTTCTTCTTCCTCTTTTTCTCCCAGTGAATTTGCTTACTTGGTTCCGTGTATGTTGAATTGATTCTAGTCTTGGTTTTAATTGGCTCTGTATGTTGTTTGATCTTCAGCTACTCAGGAAGTTGTGGAAACTAGTGACACCAGTGGATTGGATTTGGTTGAGGTCGGATTCTTGTCTGGTGTTCATGGCCTACAAGGGGAGATTTGCATAAAACCAAACACTGATTTTCCTGATTTACGTTTCTCCAAGGTAAAATTGATCATAAGAAGAAATAAACTTGTGGAAAGTTTGTATTTTTTTTTTCATCTTGAAGAAAAATAAGAACTTTGTACATTATTTGACATGATTATTACTTCATCAGCCTGGTAGAAGATGGTTAAAGCAGCAATTGATGGGACAGGACAAGATTGAAGAGGTTGAATTAGTTGAAGGTAGACCTCATCCGGCGCAGAAGAGTTGGATTCTCAAGTTTCGAGGCTTAGACGATGTTGATCAGGTATAGTGTATATAATGATACATGATAGCTTCAGAAGAAAACAATTTGAGATAATTTTGTTATGTATAAATTTTTGGCGGGTTTCCTTTAGGTGAGACAACTCATTGGCGCAACTCTTCTTGCTGAGGAAGATGATCGTCCTGAGCTTGATGAAGGAGAGTTTTACACTCGCGATCTTGTAGGCATGAGAGTTCTTCTTAAGGTTTATATTTTGATCAGCCTCTAATGTATATATGATATAACAAAAATGTGAAAAGTCTCGGGTCTGAATCCGTTCTCTTATACAGGAGACTGGTCAACTTGTTGGAACTGTTGCTAATATTTTCGACAATGGAGGAAATGACCTTCTTCATGTCTTGCTTGATTCATCCATGGAAGTCTGCAACGGGAATGCAAAGACCAATCAGCTTGTGTGGATACCTTTTGTGGACGCAATTGTTCCCGATGTTGATTTAGAAAGAAAGGAGATGTATATAACTCCTCCTAAGGGACTACTCGAGGTTAATATGCGAGCAGACGATCGGTCCAAGAAAGAAAGGCGTCAGCTTGTGAGGCATATTCTTCTGCGCTCTTCCATATTGATCAGTCTTTATAGACTTTCTCCATTGTGATCTTTTCTTGGTCTCTGAAATTTTACGTTCTGGTCATTTGGCAGGAGTGGAAAGAAAGAAAAAAGCAGCAGAAGCGGCTTATTGCTGCTAAAAAGAAGTTATGTGAATTGGAGCAAAAGCATGTGTTTGATGGATTGAGGTTCGGAGAAAAGTCTCAAAGGAGTTTACTTGCTGATCATATCGTTGATGTAAACTCCACACTGCTTCAGAAAGCTTTGCAAAGTATCGAGACCTCATCGAAGAGGTAATGAATTAACTCCAAGAATTTTCCTAACCATTGAGAGAAGTCTTTTTTTTTTCCTCATATTTCATGAATTTTGATGAATTAGATGGAACGTAAACGAGGAAATCAATGCGCTGAGAGCTAGAGTATCGGAATGTACTCTAAATGTATCACGGGAATGCCTTGGTTTTGGCGCAAGTGAAGAAAAAGTGGGTAGTAACTTGAGTTTCCTTCAGCAAGGGAAAAGTTTATACTCTGAAGGAAAAGTTTCTATTTGTTTGGTTCTCAATGATCATGAGACCGAACAACTTGAAGGTGAGAATGGTGCATTATCGTACCTTCATACGCTACTTGATGATGAGCAGAGGTTCCTAAAGGTTAGCTTATACTGTAATTTATGAATCATGAATTCGTCTTGTCATTTAGTTATGCTTTTATAAGAAACTCATCGGTTTAATGGTGCAGGAAGAAGAACGTGCTTGCGTGCCACTCGTCGTAGTTTCCCCTGAACATGCCATTGACGCTCTGCAGAAGCTATTTGAGGATAATGATAATTTTGGATTTGAATCAGAAAAGGTTATAAGGCTTTAATTCTTTCAAGGAGTTTTGCATTTCGGTTATCAGATTCTATCAGGCTTTTTTCTAACAAAACTCATGTTTACTAATGTCTAGATATGGTTTCTCAAAGAAGAAACCCTTCCAGTAGTTTGTAGCTCACCAGAAGAACCAAAGAAACACAAGATTTTGATGAAATCTCCATGGGAGATACTTAAGTCTCCGGTTGGCTCTGGAGGAGTCTTGAGCATCCTTGCTTCACATGGAATTACAGACTCTCTTTCCAGCCTCGGAATCGATTATCTTCAGGTATCAATAGTTTAAAAACTCATCGCTTTATCTCTTTGATCCGGCTCATATTCAGAAATCTTCGAATTTGGTAAAAAGCATTAAGCTTTGAGATTGTTGTCATCTTCATAGGTAAATAGCATTGAAACAAGATCACAACCTCCGCAACACAACATCAATCCAATGCTTGTTGGTTTCGTGAGCGCAAAACGAGCAGAGATTGGGATTCAGGTGACAGAAGAATCTGAAGTCAAGAACTTTGAAATGATATTCTCACTGAAGTTTCTGAAGAGACTGAAGGGCAGAATTGAGCTTGAAGCTGTTATGAAGATGAATTCACATGTTCAGAAGGTTGAAAACGAGTGGATCGAGTCTGTACCATCGGAGCCAAACTCGTTTGAGTTTCGTTCTGATATTTACAGAGTCTTGAGTGAATGTTCTTCATCAGATAAGATTTGTTTGATGAACATCACAGTTTAAAACACGTACATTATTATGTTCATTAGTTTTTCTTCTTCACATTTCACCATAATACAGTAGTTTATATATATACCGTACTAAAAACAATACCAAAAAGACAGCTATGGATGGAACCCATATTGTTTCGAACATGATTCAATTAATCTCACATATTCAATTAATTATTAATTATTAGTTATTAATTTTTTATCAGTGTTCAAAATGGTTTAGACAGGTGTTTAGGCGAGTTTAGGTGCACATGAAAATTTGGTGGTTCAGGCAAAATTTAGGCGGCGTAGGCCTTTTGTCCACATAATCTTTTGACATTTGTATTTCTAATTACACTGTCCCATGTTTAAGACACTGAAAAGATCTGAATGAATTTTAAAAAAGTTTATGATATTACATAGTCAGAAAATTTAGTTAAGTTACTCCGTATTAAAGCCCGGGAAATAAATTATATTGGGCTGTAAACATGAGCCCAATTCGTGTGTAATCAGAAACCCTAGGGGATGCCTATAAAATAATTTTTTCCGCCGTTTACAGAGTCGCCTTTGAGATCTTACGAAGGAGCAAAAATGGCGGTCCCGTTGCTTACCAAGAAGATCGTGAAGAAGAGGTCTGCCAAATTCATCAGACCCCAGAGTGATCGCCGAATCACTGTGAAGGTAACCACTATTCTTTTTCGTTTTCATTGCTAGAGATTTAACCTTTCTGGAGATTAATGGCTTTTTTCTTCCAGAAGACTTACCTTAGATACTTAGGAAGTAATAGAGGTTTTAGTGTATGCTATAGAATCATCATTTGCTCATAGTCTGATCAAATCTTGAGAGTGTTTTATTTTTGACAGCTAGTGTAAAACTTAGGTTGTTTTATACTGCTATAATGATCAGTGATGAAGATCTAATCTGTCAATTTTCTTGAATATGCAACATTACTACACATTTTAATTCTGTTTAGCTGATAAAGATGGGGCCTTTTTAGTTATTTGTAAAATCTTGATTAGCTTCATTTGCTGCATCTGAATATTGAATATGCCCTGTGGTATCTGGTGGCCAGAATTCAATTTCTGTTTCTGGTCACTTCGTTTTCTTAAGGGCAGAAAATGAAACACCTACAGGTCTTGCGACACAGTTTGCTTTGAGTTGATAAGCCTACTGTTACTTTAACCCTGTCGACATTTCCATTCTCAGACCATCTGCTGAATCTTCTTTCTGTATGTGTTCGTTTATGTCTCCAACACGGTTTGGTTTGTTACTGATGTTTAGGAAAGCTGGAGGAGGCCAAAGGGTATTGATTCAAGAGTTCGAAGAAAGTTCAAAGGTGTCACCTTGATGCCCAATGTCGGTTACGGATCCGACAAGAAAACCCGTCACTATCTCCCCAACGGATTCAAGAAATTCGTTGTTCACAACGTCACTGAGCTCGAGTTACTCATGATGCACAACAGGTATATATACATCTAATATAGTTTACATATCTGATGAGTGATTGTTGAGCTTTATTCTCATGGTGTGTCGCTTTGTTTTTGCTTCTCAGGACTTACTGTGCAGAGATTGCTCACAATATCTCGACAAAGAAGAGAAAGGCGATTGTGGAGAGAGCTTCTCAGCTAGACGTTGCCGTTACCAACAAGACTGCAAGGTTGCGTAGCCAGGAAGACGAGTGAAGAAGGCCCTAAAAGATATCTAGGGTTACTTTTATCTGTCATTTACAATTTCAGAGATTATTACTTCGCTTTTTTTTCCGTATTTAAGAGTTACTGAATGTTTCTGGTTTTAATATGATTAATTCAGAATCTGTTGACATTCGATACAAATTTTCAACGTAACTTAATCGAAGCTTCAATTTTACAATCAAATTTGTCAAAAAAATAACCGAATTTAATTCTGTTCCAACAAAGTTAATCGAAGCGAATTTTTCAGAAAGTTCAAAACTGTTTCATGTTTGCGAATGTGGCCATTGTAGAAATGGTGAGGCGAGCCAATTTTGGAAGATTCATGTTTCGAGCTTTCTCTGCCTCGTGCTTCCATGGAAAACGCAGCAGGAGCTTTTCAGTTGCGATGGAGCTCCAGAACCAAGAAGTTAAGATATGTAATCACTTAAGGAACCGAAGACTTGAAGAAGCTCGAGAGATTTTCAATCAGGTTCCATCTCCTCATGTGAGTCTCTACACCAAGATGCTCTCAGGCTACACGAGGAATAACAGATTGGTTGATGCGTTGAATCTGTTCGACCAAATGCCTGTGAGAGATGTTGTCTCGTGGAACTCGATGATCAGTGGTTGTGTTGAATGTGGAGATGTGGATACTGCAGCGAAGCTGTTCGATGAAATGCCTGAAAGAAGCGTTGTTTCATGGACAGCGATGGTGAATGGTTGTCTTAGGTCGGGTAAGATTGATCAAGCTGAGAGTTTGTTTTATCAAATGCCTGTGAAAGATACTGCAGCGTGGAACGCGATGGTTCATGGGTATTTACAGTTTGGTAAAGTAGACGATGCATTGAAGTTGTTTAGGCAGATGCCTCGTAAGAACGTGATTTCGTGGACGACAATGATCTGTGGGTTAGACCAGAATGAGAGGAGTGGAGAAGCTCTCCTTTTGTTCAAGAACATGTTGAGTTGTTGCATAAAATCGACTTCAAGAACATTCGCTTGTGTGATCACAGCATGTGCAAATGCTCCAGCGTTTCAGATGGGTACACAAGTTCATGGCTTCACCATCAAGTCGGGGTATTTATATGACGAATATGTATCTGCTTCGCTCATAACGTTTTATGCAAACTGCAAAAGAACAGAAGATTCTCGGAAGGTGTTTGATGAGAAGGTTCATGAACAAGTTGCGGTGTGGACTGCTCTATTGTCAGGGTATAGCCTGAACAAAAAGCACGAAGTTGCTTTAAGTGTTTTCTCTGAGATGTTGAGAAACAGTATCTTACCAAATCAATCAACATTTGCTAGTGGACTAAACTCTTGCTCTGCTTTGGGAACATTAGATTGGGGTAAGGAAATGCATGGAGTTGCAGTGAAGCTTATTTTAGGAACTGATGCCTTTGTGGGTAATTCTCTGGTTGTGATGTACAGTGACTGTGGAAACGTCAAAGATGCTGTTTTGGTGTTCACAGAAATCTTGAAGAAGAGCACTGTCTCGTGGAATTCCATTATTGTTGGCTGCGCACAGCACGGACGTGGAAAATGGGCGTTTATAATATTCGGCCAAATGATTCGGTTAAACAAAGAGCCCAATGAGATCACTTTGACTGGCTTGCTCTCTGCTTGTAGCCATTGTGGGTTTCTACAGAAAGGAAGAAAGCTCTTTGATTACATGTCAACTGGACCAAATCATATTGATAGAAAGATTCAACACTACACTTGTATGATAGACATTTTGGGAAGATGCGGGGAATTGAAAGAAGCAGAGGACCTTATCGAGAGCATGCATGTGAAACCTAATGAAATGGTTTGGTTGGCTTTGCTCAGTGCTTGTAGGATGCATTCTGATGTAGACAGAGCCGAGAAAGCTGCTGCTGCCATCTTTAAGCTGGACTCGAAATCAAGCGCTGCTTATGTCTTGTTGTCGAATATATATGCTTCTGCTGGGAGATGGTCGAATGTATCGAAATTGAGAGTTAAGATGAAGCAAAAGGGGATAATGAAGAAACCTGGAAGCAGTTGGGTTGTCCTTAGAGGGAAAAAGCACGAGTTTTTCTCGGGTGATCGACCAGATAGCTTGAGAGTATATGAGAAGTTGGAGTTTCTGAGAGACAAGTTGAAGGAACTTGGCTACGTTCCTGATTACCGATCTGCTTTACATGACGTTGAAGACGAACAAAAAGAAGAGATGTTGTGGTATCACAGTGAGAGGCTTGCTATTGCATTTGGGTTGGTTAATACAGTTGAAGGAAGTACAGTCACAGTGATGAAGAATCTACGGGTTTGTGAAGATTGTCATGCAGTGATTAAGCTGATCTCAGGAGTTGTGGGACGTGAGATTGTTTTAAGGGATTCGTCTCGATTTCATCATTTTAAAGGTGGAGCGTGTTCATGTGGGGATCATTGGTAGAATTTCAAAGAAAAAAAAATTCGATGCACAATCGGTCACTGGATTCTCTATGCAGATAACGTGAAGGACAACTAAAGAAACTACTGATCTGAACTGCAGCCTAATCTGGAAGGTTTTCAGGTATCTAAAAAAAAATACATAAACCGTCTTATTTTACTTTCAAATCAATGGTGACAGAACTCACAATTGATTTAGAAAATGTAATGACATGTGTCTTGTGAGTCTGTGACAATTTTATCAGATTTTTAGTAATAGGAAGTTATCATTATTAATTTATCCACATTTTCTGTGGTTCAGTACACTAGTACAGTGTTCATCACAAGTTCGTCCTATGAACCATCATTTTTCTGTGTTATGGTCGGTACAGTGGAGAACATTGAACCCAAAATAGAAGAGGGAGAGTCTCAGAACCAGAATGAGGATCACGCTCACGATCAGATGAAGAAGAAGAAGAAGCGGATGATAATTAGTCAAAAAGTGTGGTTCATGTATGTATAATGTAAGAACAATTATACCTGGATTACTAGGGTTTCATGTTTCTAGAACCTATGTGGGTGCAGAGTTTGAACACTACAAGAACCTGGAAAAGTGAGATTTGAGACCAAACGATCAAGTTCAGAGCTCAAGTTTCAAACCCTTTGGGCTCAGACAGTAGAGACCACACCCTCTTTAGAGTTAATGGAATTCATCAGACGTTTGTTAGGTAATTCAAAAGTTTCATAAACCATTCTATGTTAGTTATCTATACAACAGCGCATCGGAGCTTATAATCAGGAAGGTATGAATAGATTCTGCCACGAATGCAGATGGAGTCAAAGCAGCAGGTTTACAGAGCCATTTCCGTGAGACAAGAGATGATGACCAAATTTAAGACAGGTTTGGTGCTGCGAATTCATCTTTCATGTGGATGATTAGGCCTTGCATAGTTCTGATTCAGAAAACAATTGACATTTCAGATTGGAAGTGTCACTGACTGAAGCTAGCTCCCTGTCCATTGAGGTCTCAATGTCGCCTCCTCTTCTGTTCCAGGTAATCATGAATTACTCAAGTTAAGTAGATTGCTTAAGTATTAGGTTATTTTTCGTTGGCACCAATAAAAGTCTCCGTAGACTTGGTCTCTAGACTCGATCCCAAGCTTGTTTTTATATTTTCCATAAGCAAACGGACGTCGTTGACTTTCTTGGCATTAAACATATATCCAACAAGTTCCATCAATGATATTACCATCGTGACTTTTCAAGAAAGATTTTGTTTTTTCTCTGTCTAATGGCTTCTGCTTCCTCCTCTTCTCGCAATTGGGCATATGATGTTTTCCCGAGCTTCAGTGGGGAAGACGTCCGAGTAACTTTCCTCAGCCACTTTCTAAAGGAACTTGATCGGAAACTGATCATATCTTTCAAAGACAACGAGATCGAGAGAAGCCAGTCGCTCGATCCCGAGCTTAAACAAGCGATCAGGACTTCAAGGATCGCGGTGGTTGTGTTCTCGGAAAAATACCCATCTTCCAGCTGGTGCTTGGACGAGTTGCTTGAGATCGTGAGATGCAAGAAAGAATCAGGTCAACTGGTCATACCGGTTTTCTACGGGTTAGATCCATCTCATGTCAGGAAACAAACCGGAAAATTCGGAGAGGCTTTTACAAAGACTTGTCAGACGAAAACAGAGGATGAAACAAAACTTTGGCGGGAATCTTTGATCGAAGTAGCAAATGTTCTTGGCTATCATTCTCAGAACTGGTACAACTTCTTATATATCCATCATTATCTGTTCTTATAACAGTACTGATAATTTTCGTCTCATGTTTTTGTGAAATGGTCTTTAATTCGTCTTGCTAGGCACAACGAAGCAAAAATGATTGAAGCAATTGCCAATGATGTCTTGGTCAAACTGAATTTAACTCCATCCAAGGATTTTGAGGACTTTGTTGGGATGGAAGACCATATTGCAAAGATGAGTGTCCTATTACAACTAGAATTTGAAGAAGTGAGGATGGTTGGGATATGGGGCACCTCAGGAATTGGCAAGACTAGCATTGCAAGAGTTTTGTATAGTCGACTCTCTCATCGGTTCCAAGGTAGTGTTTTCATAGACAAAGCTTTTGTCTCCAGGAGTATGGATATTTATAATAGTGCCAACCCTGACGACTATAACATGAAGTTGCATTTGTTAGAAAGTTTCTTGTCTGAAATTTTAGACAAGAAAGACGTCAGGATAAATCATCTAGGTGTTATAGAAGAGAGGCTAAAGCACCAGAAAGTTCTTATTTTTATTGATGATTTGGATGATCAACTGGTGCTAGATACCTTGGTTGGTCAATCTCATTGGTTTGGATGTGGGAGTAGAATCATTGTGATTACCAAGGACAAGCATTTCTTAAAGGCTCATGGGATTGATTATATATACGAGGTCTGCCTCCCATATAATGACCTTGCTCTTGAGATGTTTTGTAGATTTGCTTTCAAGCAAAACTCTCCACCTGATGGTTTGATGGAGCTTGCTTCTGAAATTGCATTACGTGCCGGTAATCTTCCTTTGGGTCTTAAGGTTTTGGGATCATATTTACGGGGTTGGGACAAAGAGGACTGGATTAATCTGCTGCCTAGCCTTCGTGATACGTTGAACGGAAAAATCGATCGAACATTAAGACTCAGCTACGATGGGTTAAACAACAAGAAAGAAAAAGCAATATTTCGTCACATTTCATGTCTTTTCAATGGTGAGAAAGTTAATGACATCAAGCTGCTACTAGCAGGTAGCGACTTGGATGTTACCACTGGGTTGAAAGCCCTTGTTGATAAGTCTCTTGTACATGTAAGAGAGAATATTGTTGAGATGCACAGTTTGCTACAAGATATGGGTAAAGAGATTGTCCGTGCACAATCTAATGAGCCAGGAGAACGAGAATTTGTTGTGGATTCGAAGGATATCTGCGATTTACTTGAAGAAGACACTGTAAGTTTTTTTTTTTGTATTTCAATCATATATATCACTCTATAAGATTAAAACCATATCATTTTTGAAATTATATTTGTATTATAATCTCAGGGCACGAAGAAGGTTTTAGGTATATCATTGGATATGGATGAGATTGAAGAGTTGCTTATACATAAGAATGCTTTCAAAGGGATGCGTAATCTCTTCTTTCTAAAAATATATAACGGTAAGGTATGGGAAGAGAAGAAAAAGATGAAATGGTACATACCAGAAGGCTTAGACTATTTCCCCCCTACACTTAGGTTATTGAGATTGGACGGATATCCATTGAGATATATGCCTTCTAACTTTCGTCCTGAAAACCTCGTTAAGCTCCAAATGTCGGATAGCAAGCTCGAGAAGTTGTGGGACGGAGTTCATGTAAGTTTCTAGTAAATTTATAAGTATTAAGATGAAAATCCTTTCAAGTGATGTGTAGTTTACTTGTACTTCAGTCACTTGCAGGGCTCAGGGTAATGGATTTGCGGAGATCTCGAAATCTGGAAGAAGTACCAGATCTTTCTATGGCTAATAATCTCGAGAGACTTGATCTTAGTTTTTGCTCGAGTTTGGTGGAGCTTACTTCCTCTATTCAGTATCTCAATAAACTGGAGTGGTTGGACATGTCATCCTGTGAAAAATTGGAGTTTGTCCCCACTGGAATAAACCTCCAATCTCTTGTTAGGCTTAACCTCCGAGGATGCTCACGGTTGAAGATTGTTCCTGATATCTCAACCAACTTATCAGAGCTCAATCTAGACAGAACAGCGATTAATGAATTCCGCTTTATCTTTGGTCTTAAGAAACTTGATCTTCTTTCCATGTGTGAAATGGAGTGTGGGAAATTGTGGGAAAGAGAGCAGGTATGTACTTAACCTGACCTATTTCAACAGCCATTAGTCCGTTATGAGTATTGAAGTATTTTAACATCTCTCCATTGTTTTTTTTTTCCTCTTTGGTTCAGCCGCTTACTCCGATCATGACCACACTGTCTGTAACAATAACGAGATTGTTTCTGTCGGATATCCCAAGTTTGGTGGAGCTTCCTTCCTCTATCCAGACATTCAAAAAACTTACTCACTTGAATATTACAGAATGCAAAAATCTAGAAACTCTTGTCACTGGCATCGACTTTCAATATCTTTCTTACCTTAGTTTCGAGGGATGCTCACAGTTGAGGACTTTTCCTGATATCTCAAACAACATCGAACAGCTCCATCTAGGCCGAACAGGGATAGAAGAGGTTCCTTGGTGTATCAAGAAATTCTCTATGCTCAGATCCCTATCTTTGGAGAAGTGCAACAATTTATTACGTGTATCCCTTAATATTTATAAACTGAAAGAGCTTGTGGAAGTTGACTTTTCAGACTGTGTGGCGTTGACTGAAGCTAGCTGGATTGATAGTCCAAGTGAGACAGCAATGGCGACAGACAATATTCATTCCAAGTTACCACTCCCTCATGAGGCTTCTTCTTCTTCTCGTTCAGACCATCTTTTCCCAGAATCCGATATCATTTTCTCATGCTTCAACTTGGATCCAGAAGCTCTCCTTCGCCAACGTTCATTTATCTTCAAGTCCGTGACATTATCAGGTGAAGAAGTGCCGTCATATTTCACTCACCGTACAACTGGAACCTCCTCCTCTTTAACAATCCCTCTACTTCACAGTTCTCTCTCACAACCATTCTTCCGCTTTAGGTCTTGCGCGGTGGTTTCTTTCGTCGACTGTGGTGGTGGTTTTGTATATATCCATGTCAACTGTCGGTTCAAAAGCGGATTTGGGAACAGCTTTGATTCCTTTGCGCGGTCGCATCTCTTCCAGGCAGATAAGGATAAGAAGGATAGTCATCTGTTTATATATGACTGTCGTTTCCCTCTAAACAAAGACAGTGCTCAACGGAACTACGATCACGTCGACATACAACTTCATATAAGTAATCAAATGGACTCTACGTTCATACCCGACGGTCTTCAGTCTTTGCGTCGTCAGAGTATTTTTACGAAGCCTAAGTTCAAACTAGAAGGATGGGGTATACGACTAGTTGAGGACTGTTTATCACCCAAGAACCAACTTGGTGATCCAAATACTCGACCACTCAAGAAACCTTTGCTTATGTTGGAGAGACGTTTCTAGGTAACCAAAAAATCTCATTAAATTTTTAGTTCCACATTATTCTTTTAATATAGAGCATATATCTATAAGAACGTATTCAATAGATCACCCACCTATTGAATATTTTGAGCAAAGAGTTGATTCATTTGCTGATCCATATTACGCTACCCTTCAGTTTATATATTTTGACTTGGTTTGTGCCGCCTAAGTGCTTATAAAATTTGTTGGCTTGACAACTGCTCATGTTAGGTAATATACTGACATGTGTACTGTGATCAACTTCATCTGCAGAGGGTATGAGGTTTGCTAAGTTAGCAGGTGTGGCGGATGCAAGGT